CTACTTCATCCGGCATGTTGGGTATTTGTATCCTCATCAGATTGAATCTCTTTATGTAGGAGTGTAATCCCTCCTTTTCTCCTTGCTGGACGGCTCCTAGATCAAGAGTCATCTTCCTGGCAAGTATATTCATGGAAAAGTTTGATGCAAACAAATAAGCCAATGTTCTGAAGTTGTTAACACAGCCGGCCGACAGGTTGCCGAACCACTGCTGGGCGACTCCCTTCAGAGTGGCAGGAAAACACCTACACCATGTGGAATCGTACAATCCTTGAAGGTACATTAGATTGGTGAATGTCATCAGGTGATCCTCTGGGTTAGTGATGCCATCATAGGCGCCTATTAACACATTTTTCACTTTGGCCGGCTGGGTGTCTTGTAAGATTTCCTTGGAGAAGGCGGTTGGCTGTTCTCCAAGTTGAAGCAATCGTAACTGCCAGTCCAAAGGCTGGACATTCTTAGCTGTCTAACCCCCAAAAAGAGGAGGTGGCAAAAAGTAGTGAGTTTGCGGCACATATGGCGGCTGAGTGACATATGGTGCCGACCGTTGGTGGTGAGAGCTAGAACCGGAGTGTGCACTGCCTGTCCGGATCTCATAGTTTGACCTTGAATGATTCATAGAAGTGTTTTGTATACTGTCAAGAAAAACAGAAGTAGAGGCCGACTCAGACTGCTGTTGGCTCCTTTTTTGTTGAATCAGCAGCCGGGCGTCTGAGTAGGATTTCTTTGAGCCGTCTGGTTGAACCAGGCGGATTGGTTTCCTTCCCAATGAGGCAGGGATACGGTGCTTGGACAAATTGACTAGAGGTACCCGCCTCTCCTCTTGGCGAGGGTGGGGGGTTGCCTCACGGTCCTTCAATGACTTCTTCTTCCCTGAATAGGAAGGCTTTTTGCTCGACTGCCCTTTTTGGGAGACAGTTGTCTTTTTGTTGATGAGATCTTTAATCTCACCCTTGAAACTTCTCATGATGGTCATAAGATCATTCCTTGAGACAAGAGCTGTCCAGTCGACCGCTTGATGAGGGTCGGCCGAAGGTCCGACTGTTTGGCCTTGACCGGCCTGGTCTTGTCGTTCTTGCCTTTCACGAGGGGTAGTGCGTCGAGCCCTCAAGGACCCTTCTAGGGCCGTGCGAGTCTCAACTTCAGGCTCAGTGTCCTGATCAGAAGAAACATGAGGCTCGTCTTCTTGGCAGTCGACCTCGGGACGCTTGTCACTATTGGTTGGTACAGATTGTGATGCCATCTCAAAGGTACTCTCCCCACAGACGGCGCCAAAATGTTTCGGGGTTTTCTGTGTCCCTTGGGAGAGTTACAACTTCGAGGCTGGAACCACGCGCCTGTACCTGCAAGATAACGGAGACTCCTTGGGCAAGGAGCTCCGCCTCCAACGATCAAGTTAGCGAATGAAGGAGTTGTAATGCGGAATGTAAATGGGTGCCGAATGCTAGGACGGGTCTAGCAGGCGGTACCGAGTGGTGTGTGATTGTCTTGGGATTTGTGCAATCCGTGTGTTTCTTGTGAACAATCTCTGTCATTAATGAGCATTTATGACAGTATTTATAGCATTGGGAAGCGTGCTAGGCTCTAGGGTTTTTGGCCAACCCTAGGACTGACTGGGCTTTCTTGGGATTTGGGCCCAATCTGCTACCTGTTTAGGCAAGGCTGAAGGGCCACATGGCATAGCATAGGAAGTCCATGGTGGACCAGCTGAAGTGTGCCACGTGGCAGGTCCTGATAAGCCCAACTGGGTGACACTTGTCAGGACCTAGTTGGTCCACATGGCGAGGGTGATTGGAGGGAAAATCCCCCTAATCATAACCCAGTCAGTGTTTTGATGTGTGTCAGCTGACCACACGGTGTGGCTAGCCACACAAAAAATGTGTTGTTTGTCATTTGATTAAGTAGTGGCGTATTAGATTAATCATGAATAAATGAGTTATGTACGAAGTATATGAGATTATGAGTAATTGAGTACGTATAATCATAGAAAATCTAATATTTCCTCTGTAACATGTTTTGCAACACTTCTCTTTTTATGTTTGTCAATGCACTATTTCAATCGTTAATATCTATATTATCAATGTGTAAAAATTATAAAAATGTGATATTATTAAAGTATAAATCGAAATGAGTTTAACAAGATCCCACATGACTATATTTTTCCGAATTTATAAATCATCAAATCTAGTTAAAGTGAGATATGTGAATGGTGTAAAAGTTAAACTATTGTAATTAAGAAAACGGATGAAGAATTATGGAGAGTATTTATTTAAGGCCCAACAAACCTACGGCCATGAAATGGGCTTGAGAAGATCAAGTTTAATGGATGTGAAAGTGTTGGGTTTGTCAGTATATGGGCCGAAAGTATTGGGCTTACTTGTAATGGACTTAAAAGTCGCATATTAAGAAGTTGGCGAATCTTGTAATGTCCCATTTTCGGAATCATCTTTTTAATATTTTTTTGGGCAGAAAATTTTGACTAATTCCTTTTTTTTTTTTTTTTTTTTTTTTTGGGAAAATAAATGAGATTATTTTCATCTGTTCGAGTTCAATTTCCGTTAGACTAAAGCCCTTTTTGGTTCAAATTAGTAAAGGAAAGGGAGAGAAAGGAAAGGAAAGGAGGATAAGGGAAGTAAAAGTGATTTTATTTTCCGATGTTTGGTTAATGTAAAATTGTTAGGAAATGAAGGGAAGAGAAATGAAGCATTTTTTTTTCTCTTTTCTCTCAAATTCATCTAATTTTGGGAGAAAAGGAAAAATGAAAAGTTTGTAAAGACTTTTTCATTCTATTTTCTTTCCTTTCCTACCAATTCTCATATCATTTATCATACCAAACATGAAAAAACTAATAAAATTCACTTTATTTATTTATTCCGGCCAAATTCATTACCACCCTCAAGAGTTAAACCATATTTGACTTCCTCTCGGTTGGATCACTGAAAAAAGGAAAACCAATTTTCTTTTATGGTGGAACTTAAAATGGTTTATTCAAATTGAGATAAAACCCGAAAACCAAAATGTCTAACATTTCATAATTAATGCCAAGAATCAGTCATCCCATCTAGCCTACCATAACTACAATGGATAACATTATTGGCTTATTGCTAGTTTACCATTCCATGGAAGTATAATGACCTTATTGCCCTCTCAATTTCTTTAATCATAACCCCACTGACCAATCAGTACGTAACATCTTTTGTTTTTTTTTTACCAATTTTACCCTCATTGTTTTCCATTGTGATGCATACGTGTATTATCTTATAATAACATATATTATTAATAATAATATGGGAATATATAGGATAATATTAGGACAAGTTGTAGCTCTTCAAACCTATGAAAGGCCTTTCAACTTGGAATCAAAATCTTCCCATATCTTCTCATTAATTATCTCCCAACTTTTTTCTCCTGGAAAAAAGATAAGTTGATAGCCCTACTTCCATTTTCTTCCATCCACTCAAAAAAAAAAAAAAAAAAAAAAAAATCTAATTGTTCTTCTCTTGAATGATTATGTCTTTCATTCAACAAAAGTTGTAGTTTTTACTGCTATCAAATGGCTATATAATACTCTTTTGACTAATTACTAGTAGAACTAATTAGGATATAGTTTTTTTTTACTATTAAATTAGGGTCAAAGTTTAACACAAGAATACATTACTCGTCAAGTTTATTAAACAAATATATAAATTGGTGGATACAATTAAAAAATTTTAAAAGGAGGATGGAATCACCAATTTTAATTTGTGGTGGAGTAGATACATAAGAAAACTAGTTTGACTTTCCATACGATATGAAATTTGTTGGGTATGGTCTAATAGATATATAACACAGCCATGAAAGTGTGTATCGACTTGCACAGTTGCCAAATTCCTGGAAACACAATCTTCAATACACTTGCTTCTTATAACTTGTACCCCTCATCTAACTATTTTAATTGATGTTACTCCCTATCAAAATCCAAATATCACTAAAGATCTTTTGCAGTCTCCGACTCTCAGTACTATATATCATATCTTTGGTGCTATCAGCCAGCTGCATATAATTAATTTAACACAAGCTTTCTATATGTGGACCTAACAAAGTAGCACTATTTGTTTTTGTTACATCAACCTCAGCTTAAAGCTGTCAAAGGAAGCTCAAAGAAAAGTATTGTACGCTTCATCAATTAATCCTTGATACAAGGATAAGATGCAATCTAAACTTAGATCTATCACTGGTAATAAGATTGAAACCTATCATTGAGCATATTATCCTGGATCCATGCAATTAACCTTGAATCAAGAACAAGATGGAAACATTTATCAATTTAATAACCTTGATCCAAGGATAAGATGCAATTTAAGCATAAAACCAAGGATAAAATGGAAATCATTGATTAATTATAATACAATTAACAAGACGAACATCGATATACTTTAAACTTAGAGTTGATTATGGAGTATGCTAGGCCAAACAATCACCCACAAACCTAGTCACTCAGGTTTCAGAGCAACGCCTTAGAGTTGATTATGGACCATGCTAGGCCAAACAATCATTCACAAACCAAGTTACGGACCATGCTAGGCAAATCAATTACCCACAAAGCAAGTCACATCGGTTTCGAAGCAAGGCCAAAGATGATCAACTCTATAAAAACTCGCCTAATCTTAAGGTAGAGCCAAAACATCCCTTTACCATAAGACATTGTGATGATAGATCGAGTACCGATGATGATGATGATGATGATGTTGCAATTAAGACAAGCAAGCTAGTTGATATGTCTTAAGGAACACTGATTAAATCCCCCAACACACCACCAAATTAATAGGATATGTACCCTTCACGAATTAAGACCAAGTCTTACTTTCAAATCTCGCTTATGATTACAGTATTTTCATATCAAAATCACCATAAATTATCACCATGTTAGTGGCCTCTCTAAATATCTCCTCTATTATTCTTCTTATCTTTCAGCATCCCCTTTTCACTAATTTCATTCATAATTAAAATAACAACAATAATAAGTTAATTGGGAATTATAATATCTACTAATAGATACAATTAATTAGTTTAAAATAGAACATGGTACAAATTAGTTACCACGATTTTCTTTTTTACAATTTGATGAATCTAACATCATCGTGGATGATTCCTCCTATACCCAAAGTTGCCCTTCCTTCCATACATTTGGCCATTTTTTTTAACCATCAATATTAGGAAACCTTCCTACAAAGAAACGCTAAAAAAAAATTTAAAAAAAAAATCTGAAAATTCCCAACCTACTAACAACAAAACTACAGTACCTCAAAATTTCAATCATTCCTTTTTATTTTAATTTCATTCATTTCCTAAGATCAACTACAACAACACTGACATTATCAGCGCTTTGCCTCGCCAAAGCCAACTTCGTCAGCAAAATCGAAGCATCCGAACACGCCTTATCGGAACTATCCTTTGTAGCCGCAACCACCGCTTCGTTCCCAGGCGAACGAGGCGGCGATGCCGGCTTTTCAGCATTAATCAAGCACATCCTCGCCACGGCCGCAGCCGTTTCGTTCGATACAACATCCCATAGACCATCACTGGCTAAAATCAAACACTCGTCATCTGATGTCCGATCCGTAACCGTTACTTCCGGGTCGGGTATGACATACGGTTTTAGATAATTATCTCCGATTGCTCTGGACATTGCTAACATACCCAGCACTCTTGCACCATCCCAATATATTACTCGACCACCCGCTTCTTCAATCCGGGTCAACTCATCGGGTCTATCCGGCTGCAAAAACAAATTCAAATAAATATTAATTCTCCATCCACAAAATTCATAAAAATGATATTGTAATTATGACATCATAGTCCGGTGAAATTAATTACCTTATGATCGTTAGATAGAGGGATGGCGACGCCTTTACGGCAAAGCACGGCGCGTGAATCACCGCAGTTTGAAACAACGATTTTTTCCGGCGTTACGACGGAGACAACGGCGGTAGATCCGACGGCGTCGCACTGCGGTGTTTGCAGCTCACATCGACAGCTCGTCGAAGTTGAAGCACCGCCGTTGTTCTTCGCTCTATCTCCTACTTCTCTATCCATTCTAGTGAAACTCTGAGACAACGCCTGAGTCCAGTCATCGTCGTCGTTTTTCTCGATCTCTTCCTTTACAATCGCATGCATCCGCTCTTTACATCTTTTCGCAACCTATAACATTAACAAGCAAAAATCAATCAGCACCAACACAAAAATTCAACTCACGCGCGCAAAATTTTCGAATCGGATGAGTAAAATCGAGATTCATTGCAAAAGATGTCGAGTAAGTAATTACATGAGAGCAGCCATGGCCGTCATAGACGCCATAAAAATGAAATCCGGGTTGATTTTTGGAGTCGTCTTTTTTGCAGAAAGAAGGACGAATCGTAACCGCATCTTCCATATCTCTTCTCCGACCACAAACAGAAGTGTAACCGAACTTAGGAAAGTCATCATCATGAAGCGTGGATTCCTTAGGTTTTTCGCCGGGAAATTTCAAGGTCAAAAAATTCTCACACTGCGTCGCCGGTAAAATCAACGACGGTTTCTGCTGCTGTTGTTGTTCATCTTGATCTTCGATTTTGCGGCGTTTGAAGCGAGTAGTATCAGCAATATCAGTGATAAACTTGATTTGACGGAGTTCCATTCTCCTCCTCCTTGCGGTTCGTGAGGCCGGTTCAACCGGACTAGTGGGTTCATTCTCACCAACGTTAATACCGCAACACATTCCCGCCATTTGATCAGAAAAAGAAGTAATAGTAGTAGCAATGATGAATGATAGAAGAATAAAACCGGGTTTAGACCGGAGTAGTGTTTTTTAGGGAGAGAAAAAAAGGTGTTGTGAAGTGAGGAAATAATGGAGAGAGAGAAATGGGAGAGGGGGAGGAGGGGTCTTTAAAAAAAAGAGGGGAAAAGACGGGCAGAGGAAATGGGGGTGACCGTGACCGAAGCGGGCAGGAGAGGGTGGGCCGACACGTCCAGTTGGAGTGACGTAGAGTAAAGGAAGGAGGAAGGAGAGCCGTTGGATTAAGAGAGGAGAGATGAATGGGGGAGAAAGAACACGTGGAGATAGGTTTTGACGGGTGGGAGGTGGGGAATTAGGGAGGATACGTGGACCAATGAGGGATTAACACGAACTGTTCAACCGGCCTTCCTTTTCTGACACGCATGTGGTCCTTTTGTTGCAGCACCCCTACCCAACCTCGCGCCGAACACACTCACCTTCTTTTTTTTTTTTTTAAGTACAAATATGGTTTACACATTTACACATATGGAAATTATTTACTGGTAAGCTTACATGGGTTAATTTTGTTGGTTCCAATTTTGGGATTTTTGATTGCGAAAGCTTTGATTTTTTTTTTTTTTTTTTTTTTTTTGCATCAGATCAAATATTTTATAGTTAAAGGTGACAATGTTTACCTCATTCACTCTATAATTAGCAATTAACGATGTTTTATTCGTCAATATTTAATATAGATATCAGTCACGTAAAATATAACCTCATCTTTTCATCACTATTTTAGGTAGGTAATTTTTATTTTTTTGAAGATGAAGAAAAAGGGGTGTAACATGAGGACTTTCCAAAAGGTCAACCATCCTATTACTATTCTCTATTTTAGGAAGGTAATTAAGTGATAGATTTCATGGTTAATTACGATCTCGCTTGTTCATCATTGTTCGCTTCATTTAATTTTTGTACATAGCAATAACTTGCTTTCCCCTACTATTGAAATTAGTCATGTTCCCTATAAAAGAATTGTGGCGGTCTTGTTGTGGAAACTAGGGAGACTTTGATTGTTTAGAGTTGATTGCGTTAACTGGTTTTGACTATATTGGTTGGTAGCATAATAGTGTATAAAAATATTTAATAAGTTTCAGCCATGTTTTAAAAAATGTGAAATTAGGGTTAGAATATGGTGATAGATTAAGCAATAGCCATGAATGTAACTCTTTTTTATAGATCATATATATATTCACTTTTACTTGTAACATATTGATTCTTTGCATAATTTACAAACGTCACTTTAGACAACTAATGTTAATACTCCGTAATTTACCTATTTTTCAAATACTAAACTTTCAAGTGTTGACAAACGTACTTAGTCAAATGTCATAATAAATAATATGAGATGAGGCGAAGAGGAGTAATAAACCTCAAAAAGAGAAGGTTATAGAAAATAATGAGCATAATCTTGGTTAGGTTTCCAAATCTACAATATAATAAAGCAGAAGAGGAAAAAAATGGTGGAAGGGGTGGGTAGAGGAAATACTAGTAGATGGAAAATGTGAAGAGGCAACAGGTGTTTAAATGGAGGTGTCCTTCTCAAAGGCAAAGGGGAAAGGCAGAAATTCAGAAAACAAAAAAATTAAAAAAGTGAAGGGGTGAGTTATGTGAGTGGTAGTGGGACCACAAACAAAATACAAATGCCACATCTCATTAATCCAGAATATAAACTTTTTTCCTGGGGAGTCTTCGTTTCTTCAGCATTCTACTCTCTACTTTCGACACCTGTCACTTGCTTGACGTGGCTCTGAAGCCGCTTTTTTTGGATTTTGCTGCATTTGTATTTATTGCCTTGTACTCTGCTTCTACCCTCCCCCCTTTTTTTTTTTCTCCATTTTCAGATGATTTCATGAATATTTTGAATAGTACTCATTTCTCCTATTATTAATTATCTCTCTTACTAACCCTACTTACACTGTTTTTTTATTTGGAGTACTAACTATACTTTATATGGAGTATTATAAAAAAAAATTCATTTGCATTGCTTTATTGAAGCCTTCAAGACTACTCAATATTTTTCTTAAACTATATGCACTCCCTACGTTGTGGTTACTATAAAACGGAGGGAGTAACTTCTTTTTATTTTCGGGTTAGAAGAAGAGAAAATTGGTGGAATATATAATGGAGTAAATGTGTAGTGATAGAACGTATAAATTGATCATGTGCTTCATTGATCACCTCAAACTTTTATAAGTTAAAGAAAATGTTATACATACCTTTTAGGGCTACATATTAGAATCTAAAAATGGAAAAAACAAATGAAAATATAACATTAATTACACTGATTTGCACATGATTTTGTCATGCAATCCTAAATTATTACCAAATAAGGAAAGTTATTAAATACTTATTCATAACCATAAGGGCTACATATAGCATTACCCTTAAGTTAATCCTTTAACATTTATTGACTACTCCTTGGTTCACCTGGTTTTGTTTGAAATTTTTTATTTATTGTATAATTTTTTTTATTTGAATTTATATGTCCAAATTTATCAGTTTTTTTTATAACCAAAATAAATTAAGATAAGATAAAATGAAACAAGATAGATTCGAGGATTTAAACTCTATTCACTTCAACTATTTCTATTGAAATAAAATTATTACTGATATTAAAATTATTTATAATAAACGTACGTAACTTATTTTTACTGAACTTTAATTATTTTACTGAGCATTATTATTTGACAATGGTGGAGACAACATGGCACATTTTTTTAATTTCTCCATTTCAATTTTAGTGACTTTTGCCACTATTCACCCAAGTTATTTGACTTCATTTTGTGATTATATATCGCCACTATTCACCCAAGTTAATTTGACTTCATTTTGTGATTATATATCCTTAAGAAAAAACATAGTCGAGCGAGGTTTGTATATTTGGTTTCTCTCAACATCTATGTTTTAAATATCATAGTTTTAGTTGTACATAAGATATTATTATTTAAAATTATGCATTGACAAATATGTCTTAATATATTAAAATGTGTCAACTATAATAAAAATAGATGAAGTAACTTTAATTACATTGGTATACATATTGAGGTGCGCCAATAAATGAGTGTGATGATCAAAATTAAATAATTAATTGTATAGGTTTCTTTTAAAAAAATACATAGGTGTATTTACACTGTCACAATACACGGAAGGGGAAAATTGTCCAAGTGATTAGCCACAATAAAATACTTAAATACACTTTATTTCTTTTTTTTTTAATTAAAAAAAAAATGCACTCTTATTATTTTTGTTTACTATTCCGTACTATGTAGTAAGTTAACGTATATACTAATTCAAGAGATAAATTGACAAATTTTTCACTAACTTATTTAAATTTTTGTGAATTAGTCTGTATCAATATTAAGAGATGACTTTTGCATTATTTTAGTACTTATTATTTATTTTATGTCAATCAATAAATTTGTGCCTAACCGTTTCAATGTTCTACCTTAATACAACAACCCTATGACTACGCGGTACGCCCTTACTCTCCACGTAAAAGGTATATGTAATTTAGTTTAGTAAGCATATCGGACATGTCAAAAAAAAAAAAAAAAAAAGAAAAAAAAAATACAAATTGGAACATATATAAGGTTCGTTTACTTTAACGATTTCAAAATATTTAGTCTTTGCCGTCCATAATAAAGTAAATGCTCTCTCTAATTTGGCTTTTTTCTTGCAAATGGCGCTGACTGATGTTTAATTACATTAATTAAACATCTTATGTTTCACTGTCACCTTCCTTTATTTTGTTAATTAAAGAGGGTACTATATGTCTATATGCTAATGTCAGAGTTAGCTAACCTATGCTACTTATAAATTTAATTATGGTTTGATTACTTATTTAGTCGTTAATATAATGAGGTTGATCCAATCTAATTTCGACACTCCAATAACAATCATCCTCTACTTTTACCTTTATTTTTTTAATTAAATTTTTGCCTTTAATGGGAATCAACCTCTATTATGAAAATACGGTATGAAAAATTACTACTTAGGGAATTTAAATTTAATTGAAAAAATAAATATAAAAAAAGGAGAACGTAAACTTCGCAACTGTATACCTGTATCTTTGTACGTGTCTTCTGAGAAGTAGTCATCATAATTTTTTTAATATTATTCACGTTATGTTGCTGACATGTGTATATTTCTCAATTTTATTATTAGGGTTAGAATATTTTTTGTAGGTTTTTTTTTTTTTTTTTTTTTTTTTGAAAGAATATTTTTTGTAGGTTTTAAATCACGAGATTTAAAGAAAAAGATTATACCGTTCATATGACTCAACTCCCACTAGTTGTATCATAATTCACTCTAAATTAAATTTTGGAACAATATAATTATAATTCCCCTATTTTTTAAAGTGTATATATGTAATATATTAATGTAGAATTCTAATTAATTAAATAATAATATCTTTAATTAACAATAACTATACACTACTTAATTTGTTAAAAAAAAAACTATACACTACTTAAAATCTATAATCTTACGGAATATGTATAAAACACAACATTGTTCAAACTTCAAAGTATACTCCCCAAATTGATGTCTAGCTCGTTAAGCTAGGCCGAATTAACCCGTGAGGGATTTCGGCCCAATAGGACCCTTTATCTTAAAAAAAAAAAAAAAAAAAAAAAAAAAAAAAAAAAAAAACAAAAAAAAAAAAAGTATTACGACTAGATGTAAATATTAAGAAATGAGTGGTTAAATTGCATGAATTGATTAGATAGATACACGTCGCTTAAGAAAGGGCGGCATTATCAAGATCAATTCGCAACAAATAATCAACCAAGACTCACCACGTAAGATTTTCTATTTTTGGCAGTCAGATAATTTGTTTAGTCATATATTCAAATTCTCATATTCTAATTTCTTTACGACCGTATACAAGGATTTATACAAGTATTTTTTAGGTCATAACGACTATGCTATGTCAAAAGTAGTAATCAAAATCAAATTAAACAATAATTTGTTTATTTAAACATTTTTATTAGTGGTTTATAGAGGCTTCGTTTTCTCGATTTTATTTAATAAACTTATTATTAATTCATCTTGTACGGAGGAAAGATTTGGACAAGGAAAAAGAAAAGGTACATCATATGAGATATTTGATTTTTTTACAAATTACTTATATTCATATACTTCCTCCATTCTTTTATTATTACTCCATATAAATTGGACACATTTTTTTTTTCTGTAGTGGGAAAAAGGAATAGGAAGAGGAGTAAAAGTACAAAATTATCTATGTGATTTAAATATAAACTAATAAAAAATCAAGTGTTAAAATTAAAGGTATATTGGGTATAAGCAGTGTGAACATTTGTTTCCTGAAATGAATGTGGTGCAATAGTTGTGAAACTTTCTTAAAAAACAAGTGGTGCAATATTTTAAAAACGGACAAAGTATAATAATTTGAAAATGCTTACTATTAATCCAAATTTAACAAGACATACAAACCTTTTTTTTTTTTTTTTTTTTTTGTAATTAGAAATAACATTACCATAAAAAAAGCCAAAACGGCAATAAAAGTACAAGCCCACAAGGCGAAAACCGCCCACGTAAGACTACAAGTCAACAAGACAAACCATGTAATGAATTTTCTTGCACTTTAGCACAAACATACGATCACAATTCACAAAGGATGTTGCTTGATTTTGAGAAGGTAGAAGATGGTCTACATATACGATATAACCTTTATATTGTCAACAACTTATATTCAAACCTAGAATATACAAAGTAGCAAATAGGGATGTCAAATTGGGCAGATTGGAGGATCGGAAGAGGATGGTAACTCTATATCCACCCCCCTCGCCCCAATTCTCATATCCATCCCCACCCAACACCCATGACGGATACAATATCTACATCAATCCCAGTTTGCCCTAGTGGATGCAAGCGGAAATCTATCTCTGCACCCACCTCACACTCGGACCACACCTGCCTTATAACCCCGCTAATTTCTATAATTTTTTAACACAAAATTGGACATATGTGCCGCTGCCATACAATTATACTTCTCCCGTTCCTATTTGTTCTCCCCATTTATTGTCTTGACATTATTCATAAGGTGAGAAAATCTTCTAAATTACTCTTAATATATAAGGCATAACAGTTATGTCGGGTCTTATTTGATCCGTCTTAATGAATAATTTATTAATATTCAATTGTTATATTTTTCACTAATGAACAACTAACATATTTAAGGTCAAAAAGTTACATTGAGAAACCTGCACAGTCAAAATGGGAAGAACATTTGGGGACAAAGAGAGTACAATATAACCATAACACATTGGTACTAACAGTAGGTTGGTAGTTAATAAAAAATAGGTTCATTATTTTACCTTAATCATATATAATGATTAACTTTATTAGCAATACATTATCTATTATGTGGACGAGAAACGGGGTCAGTGGGGATAGGGTGGGTTTAATCTAAAATTCATATCTGACCAATCACCACATGTGGTGGATACAATTTTGATCCTTATACCCGCCCATCACCAACTAAACCTCCCTACATTCTCGCCCCATTGAAAATGAAGGGAAAGTTGCGTACATATGTGCAATTGATTTTTGAAAATGACCTAGATGATTGGAAAAATCAATTGATTGGATGAGTTAAAGTTAACTTTGTAACTTGATTAATAACTAAGGTCATTGAGAAATTATGAGAAGAATATCACAATATTATATCTGATCATATATCATACTCGTAGTATACATTGGTGAAAAAATAAGGTCAAAATTTTGCTAAACCATCACATAGTCAAGTCAAACTTTAGTACAATCAGAATTTCATGTTTTTTAAAAGAAAGAAAAATGTTAGTGGACCATCTCAACCAAAAGTTTAAACTAATAGTTGAATCTCAGGAATATGTTTTATACTCTATTACGCCCCCTCACATGAGAGCCTATTGAGTTTAAAGTGTGAATATAACATGAGCCCGCCATATCCAGCGTTTAGTATACCACTTTAAAAGAAGGGGTGAATGAGATTCGAACTCGTGACTGTTGTGTTACGCTAGCTCTTGATACCATGTCAAATGACTGGCCAAGAATATTTTTATACTCTATCAAAAAATGGTAACAATAAAATTAGGAAAAGTTGATGATGATGTTGCAATTGCTATTTGAGTATGTTGCTTGGAAACGCCGGAATTAAAAAGTCCGAAGATAGATTGACCTAAAAGGAAAGGGCGACTTGGAAAGTGACACGTGTAGGGTCATTTATAGAGAGAGTTGGGAACAATTGTGGGTCCCAAAGGAAGATCACACGAATCCTATAACAGACCTAACATGAAACCTACATTTTCCACTTATACTTTGCCACGTATTTTTTCTACAAGCTGCCAACTGTCAACCATTATTTACCACCCTTAACTCATTCTAGTGCCACGTGACGACTGTCCGAATTTTTATTTATTCTATTTGTGGTAAATCGCCTTTTTTACTTACGGGTTAGCGGGTTTCATATTGACATGTCAATCAATTCATTCCGGGTTAGCGGGTTTCTCGTGAAGGAAAAGATATAAGGGATCCTCACCCCTAAAGTTTGAGGTTGAGAATCAGTCTGCATAATATTTAATTCTTTTATGTCAATCTTAATTTGGTTAGTATTGATTACTATTCATGGAAAACTACGTAGCACAGAGTATAAAATAATATGAAGTGCTTATAAATTAGAATATTAAATCATCAACGGGTCAAATATAACAAGTTAGATATGAAAAGTAATAACCTTTAATTATACATACGTTAACAACACTAATGGCTTAATAATTTGTCAAAGTTATATTTTAATGGTGAAATTGCTAAAATTGTACTCTCCTTGAATCAAGGAATTTTTGGTTAACTAACTACTGACATTTGTGTTACATCTTATATTCCTATGAGTTATGTGCTATCATTAGTAAGTAGTACTTCCTAATAATAAAAAAAAGTAGAATGCATATATGTCTACTACTAATTGACTAAATATTTTAAGATGACACCCAATGTCTTTGTAATTGATTATTTAGCAACACACATGAAATTATATTTTTTGTTGGATTTGTGATTAATATGAAGTAGGAAATTCCATTGCCTAGGAAATTATATTATTGCAACAAGAAATATATAATTACACTAGTATAGAGTAAACGTTGTAAAATTCTGTCAAAATATAAAATAAAATTGTAAAATGGTCTCATCAATAATAATAACAAAAAAATGTAAAATGACAGTGGTTACTGTAAAAAGGAATGGAATAAATTAACGGGCCTTGGAGACACTGGAATGAGCAGGGCCCACTGGCCTTAGGGCACAAAACTAATGTTGCATCGTGTCTGATTTGATGCTGTCCCGTTTCAGTCCCTAATCTTTATTATGAAACGTTTCCTTTTAAGGTGTTGTGTCAAGTTTTTCTAAGCCTGTCCCACTCTTCAAAGTTACTTATATAGGGATTAGGACTATAAAGTATTGTTAATTTCGTACGGGGTAATTTGCTAATGTGGTTTACCTGATCATTTCAACATATTCTGATTTTTTTCAACTCCCTACTAATTTGTTTAGATATATAAAATGTTGTACGAGTTGTTGCGGTATATTTTTCGGTGTATAACTTTTAACCCTCAATAACTTTTTTTTTTATAAGTAATAATAATTATAAAAGTTGAATAATATAATGCTATTTATTTTAACGATTCTAACAAAAATTTACATGAATATTCTTTTACGTACATGCTCACAAAACACGGTTAAAGGTAAAGTTGTATATACAAGTAGTAAAAAGTCAAACTGAGTCAAATAAAAAAAAAACAAAGGAGGCACAATTAGGTTAAAAACTTAAAATATTAGAATATAAATATTAAAAAAAAAACTGTGACAACTTAAAATAAAAATAGAAATGTGGTTTAATATAATATGAACTTGTCTTTTCGGATGAAATTAAGGACATTTTGGTGTTTTTTAGTACTCCATATTTCGAATTACATAATTTTTTGTACATAAGTTGTCGAAGTAGATAGTAGATTACATGTGTCTTTTCTTAGTCATAATATGACTCAATGAGGCAAGACTATGAATCATGAAATCACACTCTTGCCTTAACAGAGGACACGAGTTTTTTATATTATAGTCTTCAATAAAATTATTCTATACTGATCAATTAACAACGCTACACATCAAAGACTATGCAACGTGTCGTAAAGTAAGTAACCTCAATAGATCCTTAATCTAACCTTCAACGAACCAATCCCTAGAAAATATGGAGTAGATCTTTGTTACTGGTTTCATATTAATATGGAGTTGATGTGTTAATTAAAGTCTTACGGATGATACTTAAAAAATCTAAAATCAAATTCCGTACATATTATGTTTCTTTTACGACTCTTTTTAACAATAAAACCCTCTCTAAATAGAGAACATAAATTTTGATGATTTAAAGAAACCTTAATGAAAATTATACACGAGAAGTTGGGTTGGTGCGGTGCACACACCTGCTAGTTGTTGGACATATTGGGACTACATTAAGGTTTGTAACCACGTGTCACGCTGATGATTATAATATAATTACAAAAACAATTAACAATGCTGTACCTACGACTCTAAGATAGACTACGAGGGTTTCGATTTTCTTCGGGAAAATAAGAAAATAATAGTATAAATAAGGTGGCAAAGTTAATAATAATAATTGGACGGTTTAAAAATGTTAGAAAGTTAGATATTAGGCTCACCTCAATATAATAATAAAAAATATTTTTGAGAAATAGTAATAATAAAAAATATAAAACTTAGATATTTAATTAAAAATCATGGATAATGAGGTCCAAGATGATGACGCACATTAATTAATGATATAATTGATGAACACGTGGCTTTTCCTTTTTTTTTTTTTTAAAAACAAACTTTATTTAATTTTGGTGAGAATTGGATTTGTCTAACATGAGTATTATTGGATGTTGGACCAAACTAAGGCCCATGGGACCAAATCATCAATAATGTATTTTGAAAAAGAAACGAAACGTTTAATTATAAAAACCGGACATTGGTATCTATCAAATGAGATATGGCATCATATGAATGATATAATGCAAACATTACTTTTCAGTCCATACGTCTCCGAAAAACTTATTCCAAAAACAAATTATTGAAAATACGGGTGTAATTTAAGTTACTACTCCCTAGCTTATTGTTTGATCTAAGTAGTCACGGTTAAATAGATGCTTATGACTCTCAGGTGATCGATAGCCTAGAAGTGCCTAGTTCACTAGAAGGCGTTGAGACTGACAAGGATGAACTAATAACTAGTAAAGCCCGGAGTTAAAACTATTAACAGTCATTCCACCATCTACACAAATAATTTGGCCTGTGATGTAAGAAGCAGCAGGAAGGCAGAGAAATGTCACTATTGATGATACCTCCTCTGGTTCTCCTATGCGGCCAAGAGGTGTGCGCGAAATGGTTTTCTCCAAGAAGCTCTTGTCAGCAAGCAACTGAAATTAAAACCAAACGAAGAAAATATAAGGAAGGTTACCTCAGCATTGGAGGCGCCTAGATAAAATGTTACTTCGTATAATGAAAATAGAACCAAATTCAATGTACATAAAGAGGAGAAATAAAGATACCTGGCCTTTCTCAAAGTCCTGTATTTTACTTCACCAATTTTGACAGTTATATTTTATTTTAATCATTAGTCTTATAAAATCGTATAATGAAGATGTTGGGAATAAGATGCATTTTCATATTGAAACATAGTATTACAGGTTGTGGAAAAAAAAAATAAAAAAGCATTCATATTTGGATAAGTCTCAAGCCTGTTACAGTGTTACTAGTTATAACATTGGTCCCAAAAGAGTAGGAGAGAAATGTCTAAGATGGTACGATAAAGTGGAAGAAGCAAAAAAGGGGGGTCAACAGACACCGAGACAAATCAGACAATAACATTGGAAGGTTACATACAAGGATCTATAAACCTTAACTATATCGCTCGCTATTGCACCCCCCCCCCTCTCTTTTTCTAAGGGGAGGGGAGTTGGCAAGCCGAGCCCCTGCTGCGCTGCTGGCGTGCCCCCAGGCCGGGGACTTGATGCCGTAACCCAAACCCTACCCCAATTGGTGAGCACAATAGAGCCATAAGATTCCTTTAATTGAGGGAGGATTGGCTACCATTTTGTTAACTCTAGCAGATGAGGTGGTTGGTTCATTATGGAGGATTACATGGTTTTCTAGATACTTAAAACAATACTAACCATCAGCATCATGGGCCAAGCCCCACTAACTTACATTCAATAATGATGCTACTTTTCCAACAAGAAAAAAAAAAACAGATAAGGATCACCATAGTCCTTAGATCTGTAAAAGTCCTAGTCTTCTTTAAGGGTGGGATTGGGGTTTCAAGGGGTTATGAATCTCATCGAATCTACCTCGACCATGTCCACCTATTTGGCATGTAAAGTTGGAAATGATTTAGTAAAGAAACCTTCTTCTAATATATATTTCCATACATGTTTTGTACGGAGTAAGAGTAAGAGTAGTGGTGGAGTTGAAAGTGGGAATGAAACGGAAGACACAATTTTACTGAAAAAAGTGAGCATTGACAGAAACTCAGCAATACTTGCAGTCATTAGATCTATTCACGCTATGTAGCTTTAAGGAAATTCATTACTCCCATATTCCTACTAACCTACTATTTAGTGAGGGTTTTGCATTCTCACATATTCCTTTAATGTGTATAAGCATTACCTTTGCAAAGAAATAAGATAAAGAGGGAGACATTTGGAAATCTTAAGTTTTAGAAAAATGAAGAGTGCCTGATGGTCTAGATAGTGAACTTATTCATCTTTGTGTGAGTCAGGAACTTCCGCTCCTAGTATACTTATTCATCTTTGGTGGTACTAACACGAGGATTATTACACTAGTTGAATCTCATCCATGAGAAAAAGCAGGTTCTCATAAAACCACCAAGATGAACAACATAAGCAAAAGAAGTTGTACATAATATATATATATATATATATATATATATATATATATATATATATATATATATATATATATATATATATATGTGTGTGTGTGTGTGTGTGTGTGTGTGTGTCCTAGCAATGCATACTGCAGAATTCAAAAAATGGATCCAAAGTTTTTTACATAAGCAACCGGATAAAAATTTGCCACGTTGGGTAAAGACAGATGAATTCATCTTCGTACAAATAAAACTGTCTTTCATCAAGTGGGATGAATTGATGAAGTCCAAGTAATTTGCAGTGTATCACTATACACACTTTCCCACATTCATGGACCATGATATGCTGGAGATTATAGTATGCATTCTACTCAGCTAACTGTTCTTTTCTTTGTTTCAAACTCACTCCCCCCCCCCCCCACACACCCACCCACTCCCTCAACACCCTCTCTTCAAAATAGTAGCATCATGTAAATGAAAGTGCTTCCTTCTAAGTGGACAAAGAATTTTAAAAAAAAAAAAAATTTACTCTCCGTCCAACAATATTGTGCACACTTGTCTTTGGCGCAGAGGGTTAAAAATAGTGGATATAGAGAGATAAATAACTAAATAAGGGACAACAAATGAAGGCAAGAGTGCAAAATAATATGGGGCGGGGGAAAGGAATAGATTAGAGCTCGTAGGAGTATTAGCAATATATTCTGTACAGCTCATACTTTTTTGCAAAAGTGGTAGAAACACTCCTAAGAGAATACATCAGTGTTCAGCTACCCTTCCCTTTTAAAATGAAAGTCTCTCATTTGTGATTTGTTCCTAAATAAAGAATATGACAGTCATTAGGATATTGTCAGCGGCTGGTCATCAGAGCTTCACAGCATAGTATATTTTAGCGACTGACTGATTGTTCTTTCCCTGAGCTGTATATTTCGACTCTCAGTAGTTTCATATTAATTTCGATTATCTGGCAAAGACTTGCAAGTAGAAACTTTGTAGAATAAGAATGTATAGAAGGGCCTTACATGCTCTACAAGTGAGGTTCTGGTATACCAAGGTGCAACAGTATTGGTCCTGATATTGTCTTTTGCCCATTCACATGCCAGGTTTTTGGTCAGCTGATTAATTGCAGCTGAAGATGAGAAAGAGGATATAGCTATCAAGAATCTTCATTATTTTAGATGAGCAGAAGACGAGAAAAAGAGTCTTTAGTAAGTAGATTCGCACCTTTAGTAGCCGCATAAACAGTTCCAGTACCAATAGATGTAACCCCTGCAACAGATGATATGAAGACAATGCTTCCAGCTCCAGAATCTTTTAAAAGAGGGTGTGCAAGCTGACAGAGATGATAAGCAGATTCCAAATTGGTGGTCATTAATGTTGCATAATCTTCAGCAGAGACCTCAGTAGTTGCTTGTCTTTTATTCGTACCGACATTATTTACCTGGAAGCAAAGAAAATATTACCAAGATAGCACATGACAGTTTCTTAATACCTTAAAAAATCCACAAGCATTTTTTTATAATGTAAGGACTTCCAAGTTCCAATTGTACAAAGCAGGAGACAGATCTGATTGCAATGCCTGAATGTAGAGCCTTCAAACACATTGAAGGCAGCAGAAAAACTAAGACTGTCTCTTTGAGGACTTTGTACTATGGCATTATTGGAATATACCTTATAACATGCACAAACAAATGAAGAAAAGGAAAGGCATATAAGAACAACCAGCAGCCCAGTGCGCTTGTAGAGTTGTATATACCAAGGGTAAAAAAACACATCATACTGCATAAGAGATACTTCACACATAAAAATCAATAAAAAAATCTACTGCTTTAAGGCAAAATAGGTTTGGTAGTCAAAAGGCTCCTCAACTGGAAGATTTTCTTTTTATGTCAAACAAATTGCTGAATATGTTTTGAACGTAAGGCAGTGCCATGTTGCTTGGGTAAGGGACAAGAATCAATAAGGGTGTGCAGTCCAACTCCTACAGGGCTTGGACGTATCTAGGTCCACGGATTTCTATCAACACAAAGGGATGTAAACCTTTGCAAGTCTTCTGTTATTATCTTTACAAGCCAGTTAGCTATGTATGAAACCAAAAGGTAAAATACTAGATTGCTAAGCTGAAATATCTATACACCTTCAAGAGTGTATAGTATGGAAGTCAATTGGTAATGAAGGAACAATCAAGCAGGATGGATGTTTAACCAAATCGAAGGTTACTTCTCAATCTAAAGGAATTTAGCCCACTTCAGGTCTCTTTCAATGTGATGTGAAACAAAATGTTAGGATCTCTCGACTTCAGGGCTATTTCCTTCTAATGAGTATTCTAATCATCAAGAACAACATGAAGGTTAAGTAGAAGCTATGCACGAAGTATGAGATTTAAGTAAATTCGCAAAGTCTAGTCATAGCTGGATCCAATTTGCATTACCATTTTGATTCTCACAACCCGTTAGCTGTTTTAAGATGGAAAATAAGCCAGATTGGGCTGGATAATGAACTCAATTATTTAGATTAGTAAAGATGATGCAATTGAATTTTTCTTTGAGAATTGATTGGTGACTACCAAAGGTTCTTAAGTCTTTCCAGGCTGCCTGGCTACAGTACCTTACTTCCATGCACAATATAACACAGTGAGTACAACTATACAAGAACAAGGCGGGAGTAAATATGTGCATACTCCCTCGCCCGTATATAGTCAATATACACTATCAACGTGACCAATTCCGAATTGCCGCACATAGATACACAATTCCAATCAACTTCAAGATCATGAAGAACAATTAAACTAAAATTCATTGACACCAAAACTTATCATTTCAATTCAAAAATATACTACACGTCAAGACACGATTCTTATAACAAAATGTCAAATTGTTCTAACTGATCAAACACCATATAAGAAATCATCAATAAAATCTGCAAATTCTCAAAAAAAAATCCGGTAAAAAAACATAATTTCAGAGCCAAAAATAAAGATCTTACAACTTACAAGAATGTTGAGCTTTCCATTGAAAATTGAAGAAACATCTTGCATAAGTTTCTGTCGTTGTTCCCGAGAAGAAACATCACAAACAGAACCACTCACTTCAAAACCTTTTACCTTCCATTCATCTAAGCACTTGTTTAATTCCTCTTCATTTCTCGAACAAAGATGAATTTTTGCTCCAAAACCTCCTAATTCTTCAACCACTGCATTCCTATAAACCATAATCCCAGATATAAATTCACATTAAAACCTTAAATTATTGAATACCCAGAAAAAATTATCAAAAACCCAGAAAAATTAAACACTGAAACGTTGATACATTTAACAATTAGATGAGAGAAAGAGAGAGACCCAATTCCACGAGTGCCGCCAGTGACAAGAGCAGTCATTCCAGAGAGAGACCATCGTTGAGAAAAAGTGCCACTATGTTGAGGTTTTGCCATTTTTGTTCTTCAATTTTTTTATGATTTTGGATTTTTTTTTATAAAACGATGAAAAAAATAGGTAAATTCCGAATTTCCGACGATTAGCAATCAATTTGGTTCATTACTTTTTTTTTTTTTGAAGGTACTAAGTGGTGAGAAGCTCTTCGTTGAGATGTCAATAACTTAATATTATGGCCTTATTTGATGGTAGCGTTTGAAGTAACGGTTAGTGTTTTGATCAGTCAAAACTCTATTACAAAAAATTTGAGAGTATTTGGTAAAGTAGCGGTTTTAGTAGCAGTTAGCGATAGAGATAGCATTTAGGTAGCTTTTTTCAAACGTTAAAAATAGTAGCGTTTGACAAATTTTTATTACTTTTTAAACAATATTTATATAAATTTTGATATATTTTAGTTTTGCAATTGCTACTTTTGCCAAACACTCATACTATCAACCGTTACTTTAACAGCTGACCTCTACCCACTACTAATTGACAGCTACTCGCTACCTTAACAACCGCCGACTGCTCGACTGTTAAAAGCTACCCACTACCGCTACTTTTGCCAAACAGGACCTATGTTGTTGGTACAATGGTACTTAATTTTTTAGTAGTGTAGCTCACTTGATCTTGTTACTATATCAAATCCAATTAGCAGAAGTTACACCCCGTTTGATGTCGATTTACATGCAATTAGTTAATAAGATAATTTAATTTAATGTGCTTATATTATGTAATAACGTGTTCTTTTTAAATAGTAACGTACTATATTGATTGAACGGGATGATATCGATAACAATATGAATCAGGTAAACTAGGCCAGGCTCTATAACGCCGGCCATGTGGCGACCTGTTTATGGCCACGTGGACACCTACCACCCACTTGACAAGCTTGTTATGTGGAATACATGTGACACCAGCTTGGGGATTTTTATAAATACCTAAGCATATTTCACTTCTAAGGTACAATTTTTTTAAACTAAACTTTCTCAAATCACCTTTCTTATCATCCAGTGACTGACTTTATCATCAGAGCGGTTATTCTCGAACAAACCCTAAAATCAGCTAATTTGCGTTGACTGTATGTACAGGTACCCAATTAGACGATAAACCTTTACCGACCCTAGATACAAGTTATTGGAGCTTATATGGAACAAGTGAATCACCCAATGTTTCAAGAGAAGGTATAAACTCTCAACAACAAAGTCCAAAGACAAAACATTGCATCACATTAAAACCATAGACGATCGATTCTCAAAGCAACCCAATTATAGTAACCATCCACATTATTTGAAAGATAATTCAAATTCATTCACTTGGTTTCTGAAACCTACATTAAATCCCTCCGAAACTGGCTCATACAGCATGCATGCATGTTAATACACCCATGTGCTAACTCCTGTCTCCCTTTCTTCATCACTTTCACCAAGTAAATTTTAAAACTCAGATCCTCTTTATAATAAACTCATTTGTTGCAAAAACTATATATGAAGTACGTAGTAAATACTTCGCGTGTTTATTTTTTTAAGTTGCAATGTTTTGATTTTTGCAAAATATACATAATCTATTTTGATTGTATCTGGTGATCTATATTATACTTATGAAAACAATTTAGTCATGTAGAATCATTTTAGATTTGACTTACTGTATATCTTTAAAATATCAATTTATAATTTATTTAGATGGTATTTAAAGATTAATTATCAAATTTATGTATCGCCAGGTTTGAAAATATACACATTATGATCAACTGTAGAGAAACTTCCTAGAATTTAGTCTGTATTTTGCTCTGATCTCTTACAGATCTGTCAAAATTTCTCCAAGAAAATCAAGATCCCACGTACTAGTAGAAACTAGTAATTCGCCTAATCACCTCTTGGACTTTTTACCAAATTGAGCTTTTTTGGCAAAGTATTTACCAAATTGGTCTCGTGGCAAAAGTATTTCCCAAACTAAGCTTCTAGGGTAAAACGCTGTCTCGGACAGGGTTTTACACCCAGTTTTTTTTTTTTAAAAAAATTCAAAACATAAAACTCTGTCTCACACAGCGTTTTATGGTTAATTGACTTTTTTGTATGTATTTTGCTAAAATATATTGGAATACACGTATTTTGTGTATGTAAAAAGTAAAACGCTGCCTGAGGCAGCGTTTTTACTTAAACGGCAAAAGTATTATCTCAATAGGAAAACGCTGCCTCAGGCTGCGTTTTATTCTGTATAATAAACGCTGCCTCAGGCAGCGTTTATTGGGGGCTTTTTTTTTTTTTATAAAATATGAAATACGAAGTTTGAGAAAAAAGTCAAACGGGTAAAACGCTGTATGAGACAACGTTTTACTTCTTGGATTTTTTTTTTAAATCTGGGTATAAAACGCTGTCCGAGACAGTGTTTTACCCCACAAGCTTAGTTTGGGAATACTTTTGCCACAAAACCAATTTGGTATATAATTTGCCAACAAAGCTCAATTTGGTAAAAAGTCCTCACCTCTTACCAGTTTATGGGTAAAAGGGTACATTGCATTACTTTTTCCGGTAAACTGAGTTTTCATGTCTCAGACAATTCTTTATTTCTCAGTTTAAATGCAGTAAATAAATGAGGGATTTGTAAATATTACGGAATATATAAATTATAAAAAAAAAAAAAAAAAAGGTAGAAAAAGTAAATAATTTATGGGCAAAAGCGATGTTACATGAATATAATGGGATACTTGTTTGTTGTTTAGCCTGAACAATCTTTGTCAACTGCTACCTTTGCTTCTTGATAGTGGTTGCATCACTTCACTTGCATGCATTGTTATTGGTACTAGGTTTTGATTATATTAGTACATCCTTTTCTCACTAGTAGTACATTTTCTTCTTTCTTTCGATTTTCATTTCAAAAGCTAACCTTGGTGAAATGATTGTCATTTGTCAATTTCGAAATCATTGCAGTCGTGTTATTTAAGTACACTCCATTGAATAATAGAATTCGCATAATCAATGCTACATGCTAATTAACACTTAATTTTGATTATGCTTTATTTTGTTTACACAAGTCCTCACGTACCGCCGCATATTATTACATAAGTATTGAGTAACAAATTTGTATTGTGTAGATTGTGAAAAATAAACATTAACATAACATTGTGTGCTTGAGTAGGAAAATCCGAAAATGTCATTGGCGCGAAATAATTGTAATTTAACCTCTAACTTATACTCTTTTAACTTTATATTACACAAAAATGATACTTCATTATTGTACTCCTTAGAAGCTTTCCTTCTCGATTCTTTTGGAGACATAGATAATAAGCATCTATCATTTCCACATAATTAAGGATGAGAAAAATTCTAGACAACTAACATATAAGGTACGTAACTCCTAACATTTATCAAATCGACAAAAGTATATAATAAATATATAGATACTGTATTTAGTGAGGTCAGGCTACATAAAAGAGTTATGATTTATTTTTCTATTCTTTTACTTAGCAACCATGTTTATTAAGTGTGAGATAGCTAATAATTATCCGTTAATCTTACTGATTAATTCTATTTGGCCAATGGGATTCATGTATACAAGACTAATGCCAAGATTAGGGCTAACTAATCACATATTATACAAGTTATATTATCTTATAATTAAAAGTATATTAAATTAAATTCATTCCACCGAAACTCCATTGATCTCAGCTTAAATGGCTAAGTATATATAGACATTGACAGAGACGATGTATTTACACGACAAGTCAAAGAAATTAGAGACAAAGACCCCATAAATAATGCCAATTATATTAGTTAAACATTATTGTTTTTCTAAGGTCCTAGCTAGCTTGTGATTAACCAAATGCACAAGTTATATTTTATCGACCACGACAAACCTCCTTTTTTTTCTTAATTGACAACTTAATTGATTGGTTCTTTCATGGATTTGGATTGGTTCATGGAATTGCTAGAATTTTCGTAGAGTTTTATCAAGGCATTAATTAAAATATACATTATATATAAGACTGATTTGAGTGTGTATATTAATTATAATATATGTATTGTACGTGTTTATTATCTAATATCCTCACTTGAAGATATGTTATACTTCTACGGAGTCCTCTGTTCAAGTGTATTATACGTACGTTCTATAAAAGTGTATTGTGTGTATTACACTGTTACAAGTACATATTAGATCTTGTTATGTAGAAGACCAACATTCTACAAAGAATTGTTTTGTTTGACACTCATCCTTTTTCTTTTTTCTTAGAATTTTAAATTATTTACAAAAATCTTATTCCTAATATATTAAATTATATATAGTCTTAGTTTATTATTAGTTCTTCCCACATTATTATTGAAAACATAATGTTAAATTGTTGCATTGACCCCTTATCATCAGATTAATCTTCTTAGATCCACCATTATTATTATGAATTATGACTGATTTGAATTGGGAGTTTGAAAAAGGAGCTTTTAAGCTTCAAGCATGTACATTGAAGTGACATTGTCATTGCACGTCACTTTCTTGCTTATGGAGTAATATCAATATACATTTTCATATCATACCGATTAGATCGAGTATCAATTTAATAAAAAAAATACTTCAATTCGTAAAATAAATAATCATTAACTGATAAAGTATTCGTGCAATGTACTTGTAATTAAAAACCTATAGTTAACTATCCTTTATAACTCCAAAAAAAAAAAAAAGAAAAAAAAAAAGAGGGGTACAATGAGAAGCTATGCAATAATAACTACTGATGAGAGGAACAATCATCTCATTGTATTGAATTTTGTTCATACAATCCGACATAAACATGTAAAATATTTAATCTAATTAACAAAAATATGTAATTAATACTTTGTATATAATATATAACCGATTCAATGTGAATACATAACTAGGGTAGTACAAGCTAATTGCAACTTCAACATATGATTGTTAGCTTGCTACTTGATTTTATGAAGTGGATCACCAAGTCTTAGCTCCAGATCCAACTCCTCCATAGATTTACCAGCTTTAAGACTTGAATTTTCCGGTACTTGTAAACCGATATTATCCTTAACATTGGAACACCTATTCTCTTCAAAGAATGGAAACAAAACAACTTTATAATCACCATTTTTCTTAAACCTCTTATTATACTTCAAACACTCTCCTTGAGAATAATAATAATCCTCTTCTTTTCGGTATGTCCCTATAGCTAAATCCAACCCCATGGACATTTTAGCTTGAACGACGACATCATTATGGCTACTAATTACTTTCTTAACCCCATTAATAACAGAATTTGAAGAAACCCTAGATAAAGAAAGATGTGTTACACTAGTCTTAGGGCTACAAACCTGAGATGGATTAATGGGAAGCGTTGATTTCGAAGGCCGGTTGATGATCACATGATCATCAATATTATTATGGGAGGAAGTGACTTGTTTGAGTAAAGCCCTATCTCTTCTATGAACATTCATGTGACCTCCAAGAGCTTGAGCTGACCTAAACTCCCTCTTACAAAAACTACATGAATATGATCTTTGAGGCCATATTGATCTTCCTTGGACCCCACGAATCGCGTCTTTAGCAAAGGCAGCCTCTTCTTGATAATCTTCCCATGAAGAACATGATTTTTGGTTGAATCTCTTCATCGTATTTGTTATTGGAATATGATCATCTCCAAGAATATTCAAACATTTTGCTTGCTCCATACGTATATATTGTTTTATGTAATAATATGATGGCTTGTAACACAAAAACTTACCTAAGTTGCTAGATATAAATGAAACTTGCTTGGCATATCTTAAATGATTTGGTTAATGTGTTTTAATTGGATATTAAAGGCATGAAAGTAACATGAGAATTTAATAGGGAAAAACAAAAGAGGAGAGAGAAAATTAGGGAAAAAATGTCAAAGGACTGACTTTTGTGAGGCTGCTTAGTTATGAAAGAAAAAGAAGTTTAATGTTTTTTGGTAGATGGGAAGTTAATTAAGAAGCTTAGCTTCTTATATTTGAGTCATTATTATTTCCTAAAAGAGTTGTACTGTTTGTGGGGGTCTTGAAGTGTGTGCAACTTGCTATTTTTGGAATATTTTATTGTATGGTCCCACATATAAGAAGGAATTTATGCAACTGTCATGCCTTTGATGGAACCCTGAACCTTCCATGGTTAAATAGATAATTAAAAGAAGACAATTGGAAAACCATTTTTTAGTTCTGAATATAAACTTGAATTGATTGACACTTTTGATTTGCATCTTTGTGTACATTATGCCTCCCAATGCATCTTGGTTTGATCTATCAAGGTTTACCTTTACACGTTGCTCACTTCATCAGATTTGTTTTAAATTAGTTTCAATACGTATTTGTTTTATATCATCCGTTTTTCAGTCTTTATAAAACTTTTATATAAAGTAATAAATTGAAACCTTATTATAGTACTCCGTATTATAGAGTGAAATAATAACTTTTTTACCAATATCCTAGAAAGTGTTTGCATGTATGTATTAACAATACGTTATGATTCAAAAGGATCATGTATCATTATATTAATAGGTTCATAATATGTACCTAAAGATGAGTAATGCATTGATTTTTTGTAGCTTGGAAATGGTATACTTGTATGTCATGTATTTTTAAGAGGCTTACTAACGATTGAGCAATTATCAAAATAGTTGTAATATAACTATAACTTTGCTACAAATCAATACAATCAATCAACGTACTTGCTGAAATCTTAATTAAATAGTAATAATCTGGATTTTGATTAGTTGGCTAATGAACGTGTTAACGATTTTATGGTCTTGCTTATCCAAAGATACGTCCAAAGTCTACATTTGAATGTTTGAAACATTTTAATTAGACTTATTATTGTTGCATGGAGTATTATTATAATTCCTGTTATTGAGCAAATTTTGTCTCATGAAAGAGACTTTCATCCGTGACTTGTGACTATCGTTCTCTGTCATCCACCATTTTTAAGCAAATTTGTGTTTAAATAATTTCTTACGCTTACTCCAAAATTTTAAAAATAAAATGCAATGTACGATTTCTTCTTTCTTTCTAGTGCGCAGTATACACGAACTTGAAGTTGGCCCATCTATCTCAAGTATATTAGGTTTTTATTTAAAAGCCTCGTTGTCTCAACCTTGACGCTCACCTCTGGAGTCTGGATCGTAAGGTAGCCATCAACTCAATACCTTGCAAAAAATATTTAACTTACATTTGTTCAATATGGGGTACACTAATTTAAATTGTTGTACAACTATTTTTTTTTTTTTTGAAACAAATCAATTCATTAATCAAAAGCCATACGACATTTACAAATGAAATCTAAATCAACAAATACATAAAGTTGAATTAAATAAGGGTTTTCTTCATCAAAGCTGCGATCGTTGAATATATTTTTGCACTGTGATACATCTCTCGCACACATCGCTGGAATATACAACCTTTTCAGAGAGACAGTCTAACGATTTGTTGTAACCATAAGGTTGATTTTCATTTGATTCACTTGAACGCCTTTGAAGATTTGACAACTTTTGCGATCCCGGACAACTCTTTACCAACGAACTGATAATAGGGCAAAAGATGATTACCTTTTTAATAAACCCTAACACACAAAAAAAACCCTAAACAAAAACAAACAACAAAACTAACAAAAACTACGACTCCACCATAGGGAGACGGACAAATATCTACCCTACTCGTGTAGATTTATTGAAAACTAAAGAAAATTAAGGAAAAAGGGTCGGAAATAGTCTAATTTCCGGCCTAAACGGCCGAGAATTTGGAAAATCCCTAAAATTAAAGAAGGAGAGGAGAGGAGAGGCGAGGTACAACTAATTAAATACGGAGAAAATTATATATGACTAATAAACTACTTATATATTCAAACAAACAAGTGGGTTGTGACATTGAGAAAAAGCCCTAAGAAATTCTTTGTTCTCTCTTCTCCCTAGCCACCATAGTAAAACTTAGGGCTTGCGATTTTATTGATGGTAAGCCCTAAATTCTTCTTCAATTTAAAGTTTTTAGCCAATAAAGATTACCAATAATATGGTGATTATAGTCAGTCCCTCCAAGTAGGGTTTAGTCAGTTCCCCAGTGGTAGAATTTTTATTATTGTTCGTTTGTGTGTTTTTCGTGTGTGCAGGGATACAAGTTTGGAATATTTGTCTTGCAAATTTATGGAATTGCGGGTCTGTTGGTTTAGGGGTGCAGATTTAGAAGATTCGTCTTGCAAATTTGCCGATCTTGATGACCAATTAAGTTTTATTATTTTCGCGACTATTCATCAATGGAGCTCTCTCAAGAACGATACAAAGACATCTAAAATTATTTAGGAGCAGTTTAGAAGCGATGCCATTAGTTTAGAGGTGTTAAATACTTGAATTGAGATTTTAGATCTCTTAAGGGATGATTGTAAGTGCCGAATGACTATTACTATTTAATAAAATCAACCCTCCTTATTCCATTCAAAAAAAAAAAAAAAAAAGTTGAGTTGTAAGTATCTTATATCGAACTCAACATGCCAAAGCTAGGAGTCTAGAAGTGCAATTTCTGGAGACTATATTCTAACCTAATTAAGAAGTTCAAATATAATCGTACACGAGCTGTCAATTATATATATTCATTCGAAAATACTATGTAAAGTTAAAGAAAGGAACTATTATAGTACTTCCATTGTAAAACAGTGAAGAATAACTTTCAAAATCATTGTGACAACTAGTACGAAGTATCTATTTTCTTAATTTGACTATGTTATTGAACTAGATTTGGTCATCGAGTCATCACAAGGAAGCTGTTCTAGCTTGCTTGAGAGGGTTACTTTTGGCGGTGGTGATTTTTAGTTGCTTTACTGCAATGTAAGTTATGAAAAGTCAATAATATAATTTTATTCAAATTGCATAATTGTCAACCTCTTGATGTTAACATTCTTGTATTCATTTTAATTTCCACCGATTACTAGTGCTCATAAATAAGATTAAATACCAATTGGTTGTTGGTGCAGTGGTGATTGGGGTTGCACTTGATATATGAAATTGTATGTTCGATCCTCCGCAACAACAATTGAGAGAGGACTGGTACCTAATTAACCACCCAGAATTGAGCTCCAAATTTTATTTTTTTTTTATTGGAAGAAAAATGATTTCATTAATAAAAGATAGCCAAACAACACATTAAAACAATTTCTAAGAAATCTAAAATTCCAACACAAATACATATCACCTTGGAACTAATTCCATCGCAGATTCAATCACCGATCGCCTTAATAAAAAAATTTATCCGAAGTATAAAATCTGTGAGTTAGCACTAATTCGGCTTGAAATCCACTGATGCATAATTGTTTGAGTGATAATACTCATATGGTCTTCTAGATTTTAGAGATTATGAAACCCGATATCTTCAATCATCGCTAGACGAACAAACAAAGAAATTAAACCTAATAGAAAAATCACCATCTTAACACATGGGATCAATTTATTGAAAGCAATTAAAAAGTTTTTGGGGCTTACAACAGGTAAAAATACCAGTGGAAGCCCTTACCAAGATTCATAATCGAGATCAGGAAGAAAAGAGATGAAAGAGAAGGAGAGAAAAAAAAAAAAAGAGTGAAGGAAAAACTTAAAAAAAACTGAAAAAAATCTAGCAATGGAGATTAGAAAAAACCCTCTCAAGGGGAAAACCTTACAAGAAACCGGAAAAACTGAAAAAAAAAATCTAAATCGAGCTCCAAATATGAATTAGCCCAAAGAGTGAATCGGGTGGAACACCAAAAAAAAAAAAAAAAAAGATTATATGCTATTCGCAGATTGGTTTATTATTATTATTATTATTATTATTATTATTATTATTATTTTTTTTTTTTTTTTTTTGGAATAAGAACAGGTGAATTTTTTTTATTTTTTTTTGAAAAAAAGTCTTGCTTTTTAATTACTTAAGTTTTTTTTTTAATTGAATGCTGATGAAAAAATCAATGTTGACAAAAAATAAAAAAAAGGAAAATGACAAATAATAAATTAAGGTCCCTAAACTATTGCTGACTAGGAATAGTTCCTAAACTATTTGGTCAGAAAACACCACTTGGGTGGTTGAGGGACTAAAAGTGCACACTTGATAGTTGAGGGACTAAAAATGCACAAATACGGAGTACAAAAGTTTAAAGACCGTATTTGGTCTTTACTCTATAAACTTTTGTTCATGTATTTCATAAATCATCTTTTGACCTTTTTTTTTATTAGTCCTCTCGCACGCGTTGCGCACGATAGTCCAGCGTGTATATATTTGCGTAATTAGATGTGATTAAGAGGAAATTACTTTTGTTGCATCAATTTGTAAGATTGTAGTACATTTAATTTTGCCTATAATCGTTGCTAAATTTATTAACGTAAGATCTTTGAAAGAAAGGTAAAACGGGAAAATGAGCGTGAACTCTGGTTTATTATACGAATTCACATCAAATGTAAACCAAAATGCATGAAGTTTAAGAGTATTGATTTTTTGTTTTAAATGTATAGTAAATATTATTGACTCTAGTCTCATTTCACTATTATCATAAGGATGCTTTCAGTCATTGTAAAATTATAAATGGCATTGGTCAATCAACTAAGGATGAACGGAGTGAAGTTAGGATATGTGAAATAGCAGTGTAATAGCACAAATTCAATGACTCTTGAATTGTTGTTAACTTGTTTTTATCTAGATGATCAATAGAAATCTCAATTATTGGTCTTGGCTAGGGTTAATGGAGAGCTGTTGCACTCAATAAAATAAAAGAACAATGAAATTGACGATGTACAGTGTACTTTTTTTAATTGTAGATGGAGATAATTGCTATGTTATTTATAAACTGCTTATCAATAAGAGTTAATTTATTAAGCATAATGTAATTGTATTATTTAATTTTTTAGCTAGTTTAATGAATCCTATAGTATTTCACGTACTTTTTAACCCTGATATATAGCTAGTTCAAATAATTACTTGTTTTAAGGGAATTTTCTATTTTTTTTATTCAATAGTCTTGTGTCTATAATTAAGTAAATTCATTGCTTATATCTTATTTGGCACTGTATTAGTGCAATTGGTATCTAGAAACAATTATAACCATGCTTATAGCATTACTGTACAAAATAAGCTAACAAAAGATTAATAATAGTTTTCATCATATAGCATAAAGTTTATATACATAAAAGATACTCGAGTTCAATACAGATATTTATAGTGCGCATCAGACTCCACACAAAAAGTTGGTTGTTTAAGCTAACCAAAATAATACAAAAGCAGGAAACTTGCACCCCTAGTCTTGGATACTATTCTACTAATATATCACGCCATTAACTAACATAGCTTTGTATCTGCATAATCCAAACAGGCAGCATATAGGAATATTATCTGAAATTTGAATGGATAGTTTAATGTCTCAGAAAAATAAAACTAAACCGGAAAAACAACCAAAGGAACAAATCATCACAAAAGCTTAACAAAACGAACCCCCTGATAACACAATACTCAAATTAGATCTTTCCTATTCAAGGCCATTCAACTACTATACAAACAACAACAAACCTAAATTTGTAACTGATGATTCCGTACTCTCTTCTTCCGTTTCCTTTTGATTCACAAAAAAAAGGAGAAACGATGACAATAACAAGATTCCTCCTACCCTCTAACAAATTCCCACAACAATTCCCATCATTTTTTCTCTCACCTTGGGGTTTTCTAATTTGACACCTAATACGATGATAGGAATATTATTGACAACGTTAAGAGTATGAGGTGTTAGAGAGAACATCTATTACTCTCTCTCTCTCATTCTCTTAATCTTTCTCTCACTCTCTTAATATCTCTCTGTCTCTTGATATCTTCTCTTCTCCTTCTTCTTTGACACTTTCTGACTTTGTTATCGGAGTGGTTATCCCCGGAGTCACCCTGGGGTTTAGCTTATCCTTAGGTGCTCAACTGAATGATAGGGTCATCACGGATCTCGGATCATTAGAATAAAATTAGATATCTCAAAGGGTAACCAAATTGCTACGGGGTATTATATTCAATTCATTTATTCAATTGTGCTAGTAATTGTGCAAGAAATGAAGAAGAGAATAGCGTAAAAAAACATTGTCAATATCTTTCATGGAGAATGTACCTTAGTCGTTAAATTACAAGTTAATGATGTTGAATAATTAATTGGTTACGTATGTGTAAAATGAAGAATATTGTTGGACTATGAGGCCCATGAAACGACGCGGATAGAGTGAACTGCTATTTGGATCAAAGCCCACACACGGCGATAATAATAATAAATGAAATAAAGTGAAGTGGCCGACCCAGCACTTAGATCTTTAGATTTTTAATTTCATAGGATAAAGTTGAAGCCATTTTGATGCTCACATACACTTTCAAATATCTACTTAATAAGTACTTTCTATTGTTAATTGTTTACCTTAATTATTACTTCGTTTAAAATACTTAAGACTTTACTAGGAATAGTGGCCTAATGGGTAGTATTATGCACATGGACCTACTTGACCCGAATTAAGATAGGTAGGAAACAAGGTTTCAAATAAGAGAAGATTTTGCGTGAGACTGAACTTACCATGAGTTCAATGTATCTGACAATAATATTCTAATGTCAAATATTAGATTATTAATGTCAGATATTAGAATATTAATGTCATATATTAGAATATTATTGTCAGATATTAGATTATTATTGTCAGATATATTGGACTCATCGTGGTTCGACTCACCTAATTTTTTTCGTCCAAATGATTAAACTATGGAGTGTGTGTATATATATACTTCCTCCGTTTTTTTTATTGCATCATAGGGGTTTTGGAGGCAAAATTTGGTAGTGGGAAAAAGTAAGAGAGAGAAACGTAAAAATACAAAATCGTCCATGTAATGTAAGATAAAATAAAAAAGTAAGTGTGAAAAAGTAAGGGTATGTTGGGTATTTGCAGTGTGAACAAAAATATTTTTTATCCTAAAAAGGAAATGATGCAAAATAAGTAAACTTCCTAAAGTAGTAAGTGATGCGATAAAAACAGAACGGAGAAAGTATATATTTTGACTTCACATTTTTATTATAAATTATATAATTAAGGTTCCAAATGATCTATGTAATTATTGTGTTAGGTATCTCCGTGGATAATTTCATTGAGAAGTGTTCATATGAAAGAAATAATGCATACTTTGATTATGAAACCGATCGATTTACAAGATTAGGAGCTTAGATTAACCACATATTCGTAATTTACATATATCTAAGCATTATTATCAAAATCATTTGGTTTAGATACTTATGGTTCCAACAATAATTTAACACCTTATAACTTTTGCTAGGGGTTGATCCTAAATCTACATACTATTATGGAAGTTAAAATCCTAGAAACACATTGTCCTTTTGAAGCTTATAAATTAAAAATCGAATAAGATTTGATTACTACTATTATATCTCATTGATCTCAAATCTCAAACAGTCCTATTGTATTATTGCGGAAGACATAAATATTGCATAGTTCTCTCAAATGTTTCCACTATACTAATTTCATTGATCACCTCACAAAAATATTTCAAAAAATAGTTGACTTTTTGTGACCAAAGTTTGACCGACATAATAAATTTCTTGTTTTGTTTGAGTTGTTTCCACCTTTTTTGAAAAAAAAAAATAGAAAAAATCAAAAGAAACCACACAAACAAACACAACTCACTTTCCTATACCTTCAAAAACAAAAAACCGTACCTTTCTCCCTCTTTTACCCTTCTTCTTCTTCCTTTTATCTCTGCAACTCCAAAATCAAATTCCCAGAAAATCAAAATGAACCAAAACAATAACACCATGAAAAACTCTTCAAACTCATATAATAAACCCCATGAAAATCACCTCTTTCGCTTAATAAAATCCACTTTACTTCTCTCTCTCCTCTTATTTATTTCCATTTTTGCCCTCACCGCCTTACTCACCACCCTCCCTCCTTCCTCAACTCGCATATTCTCCTCTCTCTCCGCCGTCATCCCTTCTTCTTCTTTTTATTCATCACATTATTCCTGTAATTTATCGAGCCCGGACCCTGGCCCGACCCGGCTGACCCATATAATGTTCGGGCTTGGTGGGTCTGCCAAGACATGGGAGGCTCGACGAGAGTACTCCCAGCTATGGTGGAACCCCAACACTACTCGTGGGTTTGTCTGGTTGGATGATCATCCTCCTAAGACCACCCCGGGAAGCTTTCCTCCGTACCGGGTTTCGAGTCGGGCCGAATTCCAATTCGGCCCGAATCGAAATGACCATTCGAACTCCGATCGAATGGCCCGGATACTGAAGGAAAGCTTCGATGTCGGGTTGCCTGGGGTGAGGTGGTTCGTGATGGGGGACGACGACACCGTGTTCTTCACGGACAACCTCGTGAAGGTGCTGTCAAAGTACGATCACCGCGAAATGTACTACATCGGGAGCTCCAGTGAGAGCGTTGAGCAAGATGTGATGCATGGGTATGGAACTGCGTTTGGTGGGGGTGGTTTTGCGGTGAGTTATGGTTTAGCTTGTGAATTGGTGAGGATTTTGGATGGGTGTATTAAGAGATATCATAATTTTTATGGGTCTGATGAGAAAGTTTCTGCTTGTGTTGCTGAGCTTGGTGTTCCTCTAACTAAAGAACCTGGCTTTCATCAGGTAAACTTTTTAAATTATTATTTTTTCTGGGTTTATTTGACTAATTATGACTTAAGTTCAACTTTGAAATTGCATATATTAAAATGTTGTGTCCAGAATTGGTTGTCACGTTGATTGCGTAATTTGAAGTAATAATGTGATAACTAAATTTGGACGAGGTGTTATTCCTGTGAACAATCTGGGTATGTCGTCATTCAAGAATGGAGTGAAATGGGAATTATAGTTTCCAAAATTGAAGACTTTGTGTATGGCATAGATAGACTCATGTTCATAAATTCTGGGTGTTGGACAAACAATCAGGCTTTGTAGGGAATGTTCCACGTGTTGGGGTTGGCGAGTTGCCAATTTAGACCATTATACACTTGTGACTTGTGTAGTCGTGTATGTATGATGTCTAGTACTCAACTTGCTAGTTTGGTGATGACTTCATTAATCACATTTACCAGAAATTGAAGCCTTTTTCAACATATTGAGAAAATTTGGTATTGATATTATCTTCTTTTATTAAATGCTATTTGTGGATTTGAGGGCTTGAGCTATGTGCTGATTTAGACTGATTTTTGTCGTTTAAGTAGATTATTAGTGAAACATATCAAGTATGTTGTATGTTAATGACTTGAAGAAAATAGACCTTAGTATTAAGTTGTTTTGATGTACTAATGACATTTTAAAAAAACGGGTAAAATATAATGAGTGTCTACTATGGAGTTGTATATCATTCTGTTTCTGATTTGAAAAGTTGTAAAGTATCTTAAGGTAGGCAGTCTGTCAGTTTTTAATGTGTGAACTGCGTAGTCTGCTTGTGATATAATTTGACTGTAGAATCATGAAATTTTGGCAATGATATTTATTATTTGTACTAAATTTCTTAGACAGTAATTTTGTTTACCCCAAATGAAACAAAAATGAATGGAGTATATGCACATTTGGTCCACTCTATTGATCATTTTGCCCAATTGATATTATGTTTTATTGAGATCCTTTTTCATTAACGAAATTACTTGCATGTCCATTTATTTCAGCTAATAACTAAAGTGCACGTCTTGACAACTTGTGTTTGATGCTAAATGTTCAAATCATATACGACTTATAATAATCATGTACTGAAGCCGTCCATTATTAAAAGTCACTTTGATTGTGTAATTTGAACAACGGAATAATAGTTTGGCAATTCTTTTCGAGCCGTAGTGAGTTTTTTGAGTGAAGGACTGAAGGAAGTTGCTCACCAAACAATGTTAATCATCGCCAAGTGTCGAGGAGCACATGCGGCATTTTTGTATTTCCAACCAGTTGCCCAAGTGTCCAGTGTATATGGCTAGATCTATTCACATAATACTAACGCTGGCATTTTAAAAAGACAGAAGATAAGAATTTTTAACCAGCTATTTTGGAAAGCTATATAGGAAACACAGCATACTTCGTACTCGTATTACTTCCTCCGCCCTCAATTATGTGCAACAAAGGGGTATTATTTGTGAGATATAAAATATTCCTTTGTTGCACATAATTGTCGGCGGAGGAAATAATTATTTTAACAAAGTTATAGGCTGGGGGAATTAATTGTTTATTTGATCTTTTAAGACAAAATGATCACAACTCTTAGCATTCTATAAATAGGCATGATCACTTTGTTTATTTGATCTTTTGATGATATTAGTAGTTTACTTAGCTTGTAGCATGAATTTTTAATACAAAATGCAGAAGTTGGTTGCTTTTAATACAAAATGATAAAATGCTGCAAGCCAAACTTCAAAATGTATACTTTTTTCTTCTCCTTATGAAGCCTTATTATTCAAATCTATTTTTTGCTAACTTTGACTATTAAAGTATAACTTAATAAATGATTTCATAGCCTTTGACAATCTTAAGAAATACTTTACGTACATACTTTCTACAACCTGTGAGTTAGTGGCATGGTTTGGTGTGTGGAGGGAAGGTTTCTAATGTGATAGTACCAAAACCAATGGCCTTCTTAATTAGTGTGTGTATGTGCGTGCGTGCCTGTCCCTTTAAAAACACCTAACCCCACTTTCATAGCATTTCACTTTTGTTGGTGATCCACTTTAGACGGTGGTGTTTTTTTTTTTTTTCCTTTTATATTACTACTAGTGCTATCAACAAGTCTCTATCTTTTAAAGTGGCAAACTTTTGTTGCTTTCAGGTGTTCCTGTTCTGTTATTGCCTGTCAAAATTATAACACCTTGTTATATGGTATAATTTCATGTGGACCTAGTCGAGTTCCTTTTGGTTATGATTTCAATATTCTTATTTTGAAATAGTAGTAGGAAATTGCTCCGGATTAGGTGGACTAAGAAAAGAAAGTATTCTAAGTTTAATTTTTTAATCCTTTGTTCCTGAAGGAAAAAAGACAAGTGGTTTGCTTAGACAACTGTGAACTATTGTAGGGACTCTATGGAGCAATGTATTTTAATAAAATTACATAATCGTTGACGGGCATACCAGTAAATTGGTCTTAGTCTCTTGGTACATGTTTTTGGATGCAAAAAGAACATAGGATGTTTATTTTGTGAAACAAAATACAATTTGATGTGGGCTACTTTATGCTGTAACAACCTATGTTATTAGTAGGATGATGAAAATAATACCACATTGATTCCAAAGATAAGTTGACATTGTTCATGGGCAAGGGGATTTTTGACCAAGAATGTGTAGAGATTAAAAAGAGAATAAGTGGGTGTGTCCCAACTTCAGTGAAATTTTGGAGGGAAAATCCTTTCCCAAATTTTTGTATGTTATACATGGGACATTTTAAAAATGGTATCCCTTGTATGTTAATTTAGCTCTTGAACGATGGAAGTAGCGAACTACATTTGTTGCTTTGCAGAGCTTAACTCATCAATGAAAAGAGTGGAAAAGCCCCTTGTTCATGTTTAGGGCTGGCTTGCTAATCAGATTGATGCATATAAGTATATTTTGTTTTTATTATAAAAAGATTTTTATTTTATTTTGATTGTTTTGTTTATGATAGTTTTCATTTGTTTTCTTTCTTAGCTTGACATTAGAGGAGACGTCTATGGTCTTCTAGCTGCACATCCTGTGGCTCCCTTGGTGTCACTACACCATCTTCTTGGTGCAAAGCCCTTGTTTCCTGGTGAAAATCAGTTGGACTCTCTAAAAAGGCTGTTGCATGCGTACCATGCTGACCCTGATCTTACCATTCAGCAGAGTTTCTGCTATGATCACAGCCGTAAATGGTCGGTATCCATATCGTGGGGCTATACCGTGCAGTTATATCCTTCCCTTATTCCATCCAAGGTCCTCAGTATACCTCTGCAGACATTTCGTACCTGGCGCAGTTCTAGTGATGGACCTTTTGTGTTCAATACCCGTCCCATGAAGGATGATCCTTGTGAGAGGCCTATCATTTATTTCCTGGACCAAGTTAAGGAGGTTGGTGAAGGTGAAACTGTAAGTACTTATAAGAGGGCTACTGCTGCTGATGGAAAAGAATGTGAGCAATCAGCTTACAAGAATGCAATTTCAGTGGATAATATAACAATTTCTGCTTCAAAGACGGGCCCTGAGAAGTGGATGAAGGTTTGTTTCCTTAGAAGAAGAATTTTGCTTCCTCATTGATTATATCTCTGTTGTGCATTTTGCTACTGTGTTTTGAGTATTTGAGCAACTGGCCATAGTTTCAGCAATGAAGAATGAACTGGTATGACCTTGCAATGGTAGACTTAGAACTATTTAAATGGGGGACTCAGACTTCTATTGTGGGACGTATTTTAACAACACCCGGACTTTCTATATCAGTCTAAATTAATATACTCCGCAGAACGATATGTTTTATCTTTGAAAAAATCTGTTTTTTTCCTTGATTTTGGTTGCTTAAAAAAGTTTTAGCAGCAATTATCATTACTGACCATATAGGCCTGCCCTTGTGACGTACTTTTTCGTTATAATATGTCTGGTCACTAGAGTTGATGCCCTGCTTCATGACCATGAGAATGCATCTTATCTGTTTCATGTGGTACGTATGTCGAGGGAATATACAGTGTAACTTTAAGGTTTAATTTAGTTATGTGTACTAACAAGTTTAACATGTTTGCATGAACAGGCACCACGAAGGGAGTGCTGCCAGATTAGAAACAGCCCGACTGTGTACAGTAATATGCGAATAATGATTAGAAGCTGTAAGCCGAGGGAAACTATCACTATGTGAAGGTTAGCTTATAGTTTTTTCTTTCTTTCTTTTAATTTCATTTTAGATATGTTAGTCGATTAATTGTTTGTTTCCTTAGTGTACTCTAATCAAGTACCCCCCTACATTTTAGACAGCATTACTGCATTAGTATTATACAAAAATGTTTCATCTAGGAGTTGACTTTGTGAGGTTGAATTTGTGCAAATTTACAGGCTGAATGGTTTTTCCACTTAGTTAAAGATATGATTGTATGAAATGCAATCATGACATGCGAATGGAGATACTAAATTCGAATCTGGATGACTGCCTTCCTGCAACAGTAAGCAGTGAAGGGCTTGCCATATGCTCTGTCCATCAGATCACTATGTTTTTATTCTGTGCTCATTGGAGTCTTGAATCTGTCAATAATAAATGGATTGTCTGCACTTAAATTTGAAAGAAAACTGAAACTGATGAAGAGAATGCATTAGTGGGAGCAGGATACTATGATATGCTGATAATGTCAGTAAATTTGGGTCAGATTATGGCAGGAAACGCTGATGCATTGATTCCAAGAAAAGTCCTTGCATTACGAAATACTTCATGGTTCTACATTAGTGCAATTTTTAGTCAGTGTTGTTGATCATCAATGTCATGTTCTGGCGTCCTGCTATTCAGGATTCAGATCAGCCCCTCTTAGATTGAATATCTAAACATTCTCATGCTAGAAAGCAAAGGGATTTCTAGCCCGATAACTAGATGCTTGTATATGCAACTGTAATCTCATGGGATAGTAGGAAAGAACAAAATGGTTGATCTAATAGTAATCCTTTGAATTTTCAGGTAATGTGGAGGTTCGGCTCTATTTAAGGCTGCACCGAAGTTTATAAATAGAAGAGGAAAAGGAAGGAGCACTCTCCTCCACTTTATCTTTTTTCTTTTCTTATACTAGGAGTAGATTAGAGTTAGTTTATGTACACTAATACTCCACACAGATGCTATTTTTTCTCTGCTTAGAAGATCGTCTGTGTAGGTATGTAAATGTAACCCTTCATGTTCGCCTTCGGCGACGTCAGCCTACAATGAACTATACAGAACACAGCCTTGAGTCCTTAGACAGTTGACATCTTTGTAATATTATCTTTCTGAAGTAATAAAGCTGTTAATTATCTTGTGGAAGTTTTTTGATGTTTATGCTTAGAGGCTGTTTAGTTCACCTGATTTTAGTTGATCTGATCTGAACTTATTTTTTTTGATCTGATCTGAACTTATTTTTTTTTTTCTGATTTGACCTTATTTTAATTATTTCAATATTCTACTTTTAATGTTAATCAATATTAATGTTTAATTATTATTGTTATTATTATTATTATCGTTATTATTATTATTATTATTATTATTATTATTATTATTATTATTATCATTCAATTTATATTATATTATTATTATTATTATATGATATTATATTACCATGATATTATGTTATTATTATTATTATATTATTATTATTATTATATTATATTATATTGTATTATATTATTATATTATATTATATTATATTATTATTATTACTATTATATTATATTATTATTATTAAATAATAATAATTTCATTATTGTTAATGGAATTGTTTCCAAAATTTCAAAAGGTGAGATTGTTTCTGGAAGATGGAGCAAAGGTGTGATTATTAGATTTCATTTTCCTTTTTTTATTTAAGCTTTTATATTTAACTTGTTTAGGGCGTTTAAGTGTTTTTTTATTCATTTGTTCCTCAATTGAACCTTTTTTTATTCATGCGTGTATGGTTGTGTGGAATGACACATTGACCCGTTTTAACCCGTCAAAACCCGAATTTAACCTGACCTGAATTCAACCCGACATATTCCTAACCCGACCCGAATTTAACCTGACCTATTACTAACCCGACCCGAATTTAACCCGACCTATTACTAGCCCGACCCGGATTCAACCCGATCTATCATTAACCCGACCTGAAATCAACCCAACTTGTTATTGACCCGAAATTAACTAGCAATCTAGGATTACATCATATTTTTTTTTCTTTCCCTAATTCTATGAGTTATTTTCCTATTTAAGCTTATTCAAATATTTTCAAAAAAATTCTCTATTATCAAATGTATTATAATTTACGTCTCAAAAAAAACCTATGAAAATTTATGAATACCACTACTTTTTGGATGCATGTGCATTCTTTATTCAAATTTAGTAATTACTATTTACGAATACTACTACTTTGTAGGTGCATGTGCATTAATGTAGTCAACCCGAAATGATCCGACCTGAATTAATCCGACCCACACTTCACACTTCACAATTGGCAATTATGGTTGCTACATTCACACTTCACAATATTATTCGATTACATGAGTTGGATATACCCATTGATAGTGGTATAGAAATCGAACCAAGAGCAGATTATGATTTGTTTAACGAGAATCGTAAATCTGTAATGAAAGAAGTACAACTTAATATAGCGAAGGAAATTTGGAACTTCTTGTAATGAAAATTATATTTGTAAACGTTTATGATTTGGAGCTTATAATGAAATTTTAATTATTATCGTTTATTGTTTGTGCTATTTAATAACATAGACAATGTTGCTACTTCAAACAAACGATAAAATCAAATCCGATACATCATAAATCAATAATAATAATAATAATAATAATAATAATAATAATAATAATAATAATAATATTAATTTGATCTGAACTTATTTTTTCTGATCTGATCTTATTTTTTCTGATCTGAACTTATTTTTCCTGATCTGATCTGATCTAAACTTATTTTTTTTTATCTGATCTGATCTGAACTTATTTTTTCTGAAATAAGTAAAAATAAGGTGAACTAAACAGGGCCTTATTTAGGCCATAAAGTGTTGATAAATTCTATAAGTTCAAGAAGCATAAGTTCACAAAAGCTCTATTAAGGACACATAATGGCTATCTAAGTTCACTCTAAACTATAATAAGTCTTAATGAAGTCTAATAAGCTCTAAATAATTGAAAATTAAGTGAATAGAATGCACCTTAATTTCTCCGCCATTATTCTTGCTAGCCAAAATTGTTTGCGAATAATTGATAAATGTGACACCAGGCTTCTATGAGTTTGTTTTCTCCTTAACAAACTCTAACCCTGTGTTCACCTTTGAAATGAAGACTGAAGCTCCACGAAGCCAGGTAAACTATATAGCGTCTCCTTCATAGGAAGTCAAAATTCATTTTTTCAAAAAACATGGATGTCTTATGATATACGAAGTATTTCATATGAGACTACGATGATAAGTATCACAATGTACACTCTTATAAGGGTACATTTCTAAAATTTTGGGTGATTTTTTTTTTTTACATGTTTTAACTAAAACCAAGCAATTATATCAGGAAATTTGTGATACCTCCAATTTCTTACAGTGAGTTCAAACCACAAATTATAGAGAAAAGCAGAATGAGTCAAAATCTCCACAATTCGTGCTGTAAAATACAGTATAATTGTGGCTAAAATAAAATTCCGGATTGCAAAACACATGTTAAGTACAAAGCTGATCTTCAGACATTATAAATAGCGTAAGTTAATTGTTCTTTAACATCAGCAATTACATACTTCTCTATCTGATTAATCTTCTGCATACACACTTTCTTCTACATTACTTTCAGCAATATCCAACATGAGTAACTCCCAGAATGCAAGCTTCAACGCCGGTGAGGCCAAGGCCCAGGCTGAGGTAATTTTGCTATGATGTTCTGCTCTTTTCACTCGATGTTTTTCACACCTTCCATGATATGGATGTCTGAAAATGTTTTCCTCCTTAGCGAATACTGCACGACCAACCATCGATTTTTAACTATGAATGCCTTTATCACACTCACGCTTAAAATTATAAGCTTGTAAATCAGATTTGAAGCATATCGAATATCCAACTTTGTTAATAATTTTACTGCATTACATTCATTCATACAATGTCTCCCTAGTTCATGATAATTGAAACCATTCTTGCAATCGAATCCTCAACGGTGTTCTGGTAGTACAAAGCCAGGAAAAAAAAAAAAAAAATTATCATTTATTTCTCCAATTACAGGAAAAGACCAACCAGATGTCAGCGATGGCCGGAGAAACGAGCAACCAGATGTCAGAAAAGACCAGCCAAACGTCAGAAAAGGCTGGAGAAAAGACCAGCCAGGTATCAGACATGGCCAGTGAAAAGTCTAGCCAGGCTTCACACATCGCCAGTGAAAAGACCAGCCAAGCCGGTGGCATGCTCCAGTCTGCTAAGGAATCAGTCCAAGAGGTTTGGCTTAGTTTAAGTTTATGTTTGTAAATGACCATTATCATCAGTTTAATCATCAAAAAGATAACGAGTCACAAATTATAATGCAGGCTGGTTCACAAATGAAGGCCAAGGCAGAGGGTTCTGCTGAAGCTCTCAAGAACGCCACTGGCATGAACAATTGAGCTCAGCTACTCCATTAGCTTCCGGCCTTTCGCCACCGAATAATAGCTTTTTTGTTTTTATGAATTAAGGATCCATTATTGTAATATGGAAAGGAGCCAAAACTCTCCAATAGGTTTTCTGTCTCTTTTAAGTAAATTCTTTACAGTTTAATAATTCTGTCAAAGAATACAGTTTCTGAGCTCCTGATAGTAGCTTGTTTCCTTTTTATATCAATACAATTACATACTTCATATTTTATAAGCAAAATCACCTTCAGTTGGTATCTTGCAACTTTTTTCGTGTCTAGTGAATAATCGAAACTTCCAGAAGTTATACGTAAAAATCAGAATTTATCTTCGGAGATGCACACCCAAAGTACAACATACATGATCCATATTTGACAGGGCTTAACCTGAAAGAAACCATGCAACTATTAATAAAGGAAATTCCTGTACCATGAAATGCAGTCTATGCTTCAAAATGTTTAGCCACTGTGAATCTTGAAATACAAAGGTTTCTTTGACATTGTAGTGCTAGGTTTCTTTAACAATACAAAAATACAATTAACAAGTATACATACCTGGAATTTATTTGCAAAATAGTGTTTCTTTTGTGTCATTTCCTGTTGTTGGATTTACCCTAAAAATAAAGACAGGCTTCTTAAGGTCTCAACTCTCAACTACAGCGAGATGAAGAAAGTTGTACAAATTACTAATTGGTTAAAAACTATCTCACCCATCAGCAACTTTGCAAAGATATTCTCGTTGATCATCTCTCAAAGGCACATCAGTAAAATCTGTTTGGTAATTATAATTAGCCTGTCTTTTCGGAGAAAAAAAAAATGCATCTACAATGAAAAAATTGAATGTATGTACCAGCTCCTGTGATGACTGATCCTCTAAATGATGTATTTCCAGTGGTTAGAGCACCTTCCAAGTTAGCATTGGTTAAATTCGCCTGAAAAAAGAACAAATGAAGTATTTAAACCCTAGAAGGCACTGAGACGGATACAGGGACAAATACGGGGACGGGACGGGAACGGAAAACGGCAAAATTAAAAATGTAAAAAACGGGTACGGCATGGATACGACAAAAAAAAATCTAAAAATTCAGAAATTTAAATCCATACTTAGTCATTACCACAAATTCAAAGGCAATTTAGAGTTGTATGATGTGTTAACCGACCCCCTACCCGTGCTACTACCAATACTGTGAGAGTCCATTCAGGTATATAGCTACTGCATTATTTTCAAAAAAAGTATAAAATCTTAAGCTGAAAGAACAAATCGAAAATTAAGGAAGTAGCTTTCTCAAAAAAAAATAAAATAAAAAAGTAGAAACAAAAGCAAGAACTCAGGAAGTTGAAGAAAAACAAAGAGACAACCGGTCGCGGGACATTGAAGATCTGAACAGTCACCGGAGACTGAAGATCTGACCGGTGTTTTGGTCTGGTCGACTAAATTGTGTCCCTAATTAAAATTTTCAAGTAAAGAAATCAAGTATATTCTATATTGGGCCCTTCTTTTTTTTTTTGAACTGGGATTGGGCTCTTGAAATTGCTCTTGGGGACATCCAAAAAGAGGTGAACCGTACCCAAGACGTTCCCTGAATTTGCCCCGGGCCGTACCCAACTTTTTGGAAACGTCCCGGGGACGTATTTTTGTCGTCCCCGTACCATACCCGTACCCGTCCCCTAGCTGTCCCCGGTACGAGAAACGGCCATAAATTGCCATACCCGTGCTTCCTAGTTTAAACCATCTGAAATTACCACTATGTTTAAGGCCATTATCTAGTATTGAAATGGATCTGGTGTGCATTGCTGTAGGTCACTATCATTTACCATACGTTAAATTACAAAATAGTCATGTCATTAAGAACAATAATGTCTTTATAGCATTTAACAAGAATTTAAGGCAGTGGTTTACCTTGGTCACATTTGCCAGGGAAAAGTCTGCCCCTCTCAGATCAGCATCTGAAAGATCAGCCCCTAAAGCACCAGACAGAACCAATATTATAACATTCACAAAAAAATTATGCATGTCCAGCAGAAAGCCAGGAACAAGATACTTCTTTGCGATCATTTACAGTAGAAAGCAAACATAGAAGCTACGTAACATTTTGATAGAGAAGAGGACATGAGCAACTCTATGAACTTCATTGTATCAAGTTAGAATAGATTCTACTGCCAAAAAAAACAGTGGGCAATCCAAGGATGCTTATTGTTATAGCGCTTCATATGATGTCTTACATACCATGGCCCATTAAAATTCCCCCAAACTTGAGCCAACTTACACCCTAAATATTCATACACATTATCTTCACTCTTGCATGGTTAAATATTGACCTAATTAGTAATCCCATATGCATTAAAAGAATCCGATAACATCCTTACAATGGACTAGTTTGCAATCCTTTGCATATTGAATTTTCCTCTACCTTTACCCAAGTCTAGTAACTCGCATCTAGCACCCCATATTAACAAATTCTACCCAGCAGTTTCTTAAGGGAACACTTCACCAAAGCCTACATTCTAAATTCACAACTGGTATATATATCTTAGGATTTTCCTTAAATTCACATCATTTCAGCTGATTCTTACTGCTTATAATTGAATACAGCTACTTCTTGAAAGCCCTTAAAATCTTCATTATCGATTATTACAACTTAATAAGCTCTAGATTTTATCATTTATGATGATTGTCTATCTTACACAAGCTGCTTCTCCAAAAGGCATTATATTTCTCATCTTGTCAACAATGATTGCAACTTAAATATGCTCTAGGTTTTATGATGATCCATTATAATTTATCGAGAATTGTCAAATAACACATTCTGATCAAAACAAGGAAACAGCCACATTCTACTTATGCTATGCAATTAAGGATTTCAATTAACATCTATACAACAAAATCAAGCATGTTATAAAGTAGATAAAAAATACACCTGTTAAATCTGCATCAAAAAAGCTAGCACCCAACAATTTAGCTCCCTTAAAATTAGCCATTCGCAAAATTGACTGCATCAAAATTCAATTCCCAGAAAACCCATTATAATTAATATTCGAAACAACAAAAAAATTCACCCAGAAAAAGGAAAAAAAATAAATAAATTAGCAAGGATTAAACGAACTGTTTTGAAGTCTTGCTTAATTAAGGTCTGTCCACTAAAATCCTTTCCAGATAAATCTTGACCTCTTGTTACTCCTTGCCCATATGGCCCTCCACCCTATTTTAATTTCCCCAAACAAAAAATTAATTCAGAAAATTCATACCAAAAAAAAAAAAAAAAAAAAAAAAGGAGAAAGAAAAATGCAGAAAATAAATACCTTGAAAGCAAGAGCAGGGTCAGAGAAGCAAAGTGAAGCAGAGAGAAGAAGAGCAAAACTTGCAGAAGCAATTGGGTTATCCAGAATTGGTAATAAAAACCCATTTTTGTTATTATTTGATACTTGTAATTTTTGAAGCTCCTGTTAATCAATGAAACCCAGAAAAGTTAGAGAAGAATAAAATAAATTAGGGTGGAAAAACTGAAAATGATTGATAATTGGGAAAGAAAAATGTCTTACAATGTGAGGAGGATGAAGTGGGGAAGAGAGAGAAGAGGTGAGATGAGGTTTAGGAGGAGAGAGGGAAGATTTTGGTGGGAATTTGAGAGTGAAGGAGACATTGAGTGCTGCCATTGCTGTTGTCAGTAAGCAAGTCCACACCTTTCTCTGTGAATTGCGCTACATCATGTGGATTTTCTATTTTTTTAGTTGTTTTGGATTATTGGATAATTGAATTGGATTGTTTTTTTTTTTTTTTTTGTGGAAATGTGGACCATGACCCGTTCTCAACCCCTCTACAAGTCAAGATCCCTCCCGATTCTTCAACTACCTACATGGTCTTCTGGGGTCTTATGGGGTTTATTGGAATTATCTCGTGCTTTGTACTTTTGGGTTTAGAAAACAATTTTTAAGCTTGAAGGTTATATATAATACATGGTTTCAAATCTATTACAGAATTTGTTTAAAAAAAAAAAAAATTAAAGTGAATGTAAAAGTATCTCTCTAAGTCATAAAAATTGATTTGAAACTATAACAACCTAACAAACTATTAATATCTTTAAATATTTAAGAATGAGATAAGGAGTATACGACTAATTGAAAAAAAATGTTGGAGATCAACTTAGCAATCTAGCATAGCAAGAGATGAGTTTAATTACCAATTAAGTGTGTGGGATCCCATTAAGGTATTGAAAATACTTCATTAGGTAATGTATATATTATGAGGTATATTTTTAATACTTTCTCCGTTTTTTTTTTAAACTGCACCATTTGAGAGTATACACTATTCACACAATCTCTTTTGACCATTTTGTGACTTATCCGTAATGAAAAACGTAGCCATGTGGGATCTCATGAGATTCGTCTCGACGTCTAATTTTTGAATATCAAATTTTTATAATTTTTACTTAAGTATAATTAAAGATATTAATGGCCAAAATATTGCATCGGCAAACGTAAAATGACAAACAACAATTAATCTTTAACATGAGTTTGTAACACAACTACTCATGCACCATTATCCCTTGGGGCTCCCATACTCATTCATAACATGTCATGAATTAATTTTTTTATACAAGGTAAGTTTAGATAAAATAAGTGTGCTCTTTAGAGAATATGTATTTATTACCCAACATGGATGGTGGCATAATGGGGTTATGATGCAATTCAAACTAAAAAAAAAGAGAGCAAGATGAATAAATTATTAGTGGTACAATTTTAATGAAAGAATATAATCAAAGAGAAAGAAAAACCCACGATTAACACAAGATAGTACTCCATAGTATAATAACATTGAACACAATTAATAATATTAATAGATGATGAAAAACTCCTGGAATAATAATCCAAGTAGATGGAATAGCGGGGAAAAGAAAGAGAAGGAGAATGGAGGTGAGGGGAGGTGACCTAGGGAGCCGCAATGCCTACTTTGCGCAAAGCTGGTGGGTTCCTCTACTATGCTTCTGCTACACCCATACCAATAGTCCACCCACCCACAAATCCAATGTGTATGTGTATGTGTATGTATCACTGAGACTATTGTAGTTTTGTAAGTTGTAACTTTCTAGGTGCTATTCTGCCCTCAATACATGCGGTGCTATTTTGGTAGGCTATTGCTGCAGACTGTTCAAACATCTTACAAGTTCAAATTCAAGGGTTTTTTATGTTAATTACTGTGCATGTTTTTGTGATTTCTTGTCGGTACTTGTTCTTCCTTCATCTCATGCGCACGTTGCACATTACCCCACCCCACCCCCCCAACCCTCCAGGGTCCAGCTACTTAGCTCCCCCTTGGAATTGGGACTAGAGACTCACCGGCCTCGACTTCGCTTTGGAAGTTGAACCGCTCCCAGTCAATAACAGGCTTTCTTCTTTTCACCCTATATAATGAACAAACATGTTATGTTACGTTTTTTTACCAATTTTTATCATGTATCCAAACAATAGACCTTTAAAGGAAAATTGTATTCCCTCTGTCGCAGTCTTGTTAAATTCGTCACATTGTATTTTTTATTAATATCATGTTTTATAATTTTTATGTGTATGAAAATAAAGATATAGACATTTTAATACGCGTCTTGGAGACCGTGTACAGTCAAATGGGGTAAAAAAATAGAAATAGAGGGAGTAGTTATGGTGTGGGATGTTATTAAATTTGTTTCATGAGATATGTATGATTAGATTTAAAGCTAACAATAGATAGAATTTACTTGTTGCAGCTTAGAAAATTGGATCCAGAAGTTTAAAAGAGGTAAGAAAAGAGAGAAACCATTTTTAGAAAAAAGGGGCACATATGCAAACTAGAAACTATTGAATTTCCCCAGTTTTCAATATTGGAACCCCTGGGCCCTGTAGATAGAAATCCTTATCTTGCGCCGGCTGATTAATGGGCCCCTTCCACTTACTTTTCCTACAGGAAACTTGTTAATCACAGAATTAACAGGAACATTTAAAAGAACAGCAAAGTTCCTAAAAGGAAATATACCGTGGCGTTCTTAGAGCTGATCATGAGCCGATATGACTTGATGATTTAATATATTATATAACCCAGTTTTATATTAATGGACTTATAAATGGACATATTTTCAAATAGTGGTTTGAGTGAAATTAAATTTTTTGCTAATGTACAACCAATATTATTTTAGGAGATCGGTAGCATAACACGTGGACTGTGTTGAAGGCACCTTCTATTGAAAACGTCAGCTCACTAAAAATAAATTAGTGGGTTGTGCCTAGCCTTTGCTTGTCATAAATTCTTGTCTTGCAGGCTCAACCTATGCCCATACTCTTGTCCTCATTGGCAAATAGAAATTCTAAACGCTATCCCTAGAGGACTTTGGTAATTTTGAATGTTCGAATATTAATCCGTAATGATTAAAGTTACTAGATTTTGCTTATATGTGATTAAATTATACTTAGTACATATATAGCCAACTATATCGGAAATACATCAGTTTAAGCCTAAATACGATATTGAGTTCGGTTAGAGTCAGTTTCAAAATTTTGAATCTGAGTCAATTGAATCAAATCGGGTCAATCCGCTAAATTAATTACATAGGGACAAAATCTAGTAACTTTAATAAATTGTCCTTTGTGGTTACAACACATAATACAAGGAGGGAAAACAAGATTTGCAAGGAAAAAAAATAAGACCCTAAAAAATTAAAGAGAGGAGCAACCCCACCCACATACATAGTTGCACACCTAGAAAGGGTAAGAACAAGGAAAAAACACTAGAATCCTTCCCTTCTTGGAATTCCTAAAATTAACCCTTCTTTTATTTATTTTCTCTGTCTTCTTGCTTTTGCTCTTTCTTTCATTCCTTCTTCACAGCAACAACAATTCAGCCGTACCCAAATCAGATTTTTTTTTAAAATTTGTGGGTCACCTTCAAATTATATAGTATTATTAAAAAAAAATAGTATTATAAAAAAAATAGAAAAAAAAAGTAGCTTTTTTACTCCCTCATTCGAAAGATTTCATCTTTGGAGTTGTTCTTAACTCCATTGAGTTTGCATGTCAGAGTTTCAGATTTTCTGAGGTGGGTTTTGTTTAATTCCTGTTTTTAATTTTGTTTTTTGGTTGATTATTATTGTTATTATTGATTTCTTATCTTAATTACCATTTGAATTTTTTGGTTTTAATTTTCAGTTGGAAGGGATGAAGAATTTGAAATTTGAAGTAGAAATTGCTTATTTTGCTTTCGCTATTTTGACTCAAAAGCAGCAAACACACTAGAATCAAGGTAAGAGAGAGAAGATAAAAGAGAGGGTTTTTGGAAATCAGATTTTAATTCTATGCATTCTCAACTAACAAGTAACAACTTACAGCTTTTTTATCCCTTTACCAAATAAACAAAAGTTGGCTCCACTTTTCTTGACTATTTACAAGTTTATTACCCTTGTCAAATTTGTTTTCTTTTTTGTTTGGTAAGAATTTCAAAAGAAAAGACATCAGAAAAACAAAAAATAAAATTAGGAAAAACTCTGTATATTTTGTTTGGTGTAATATTGGTGTGGGTTTGTCGGTTTTATTACCAGCAAAACAAAAAAAAAAAAAAAAAAAAAAAAATGGCAAACAGATGGTGGGCTGGTAATGTAGCTATGAGGGGAGTTGAACACATGTCCTCTGATCAAACTAAGTCTGAACACCAAGATATTGATGGTAGCAATGGAAACCCGAACCCGGATTCGGACGATAGCCGGGAGAATAATCAGGAGTCTGAGGATAATCACAATCTTAGCAGTGGTGGCGGTGGCGGAGGCGGGTTTGAAATGGTGGAATTTGGGAGTGGTGGGAATAGTGGTGGTAGTAGTGGTAGGAGGCCTAGAGGTAGACCACCAGGGTCTAAGAATAAGCCTAAACCTCCCATTGTTATTACTAAAGAAAGTCCTAATGCTTTGAGGAGTCATGTTTTGGAGATTAGTACTGGTGCTGATATTGCTGATAGTTTGGCTAATTTTGCTCAGCGCCGACACCGGGGTGTGTCGGTGCTCAGCGGGAGTGGGATTGTTACGAATGTGACACTTCGCCAACCGGCTGCTCCGGGTGGTGGTGTTACGCTTCATGGACGGTTTGAGATTCTTTCCCTTTCGGGGGCGTTTCTCCCGTCCCCATCACCACCTGGAGCAACTGGGTTGACGGTCTACTTGGCTGGTGGCCAAGGGCAGGTTGTTGGGGGTGGTGTTGTTGGGCCTCTGGTGGCATCAGGTCCTGTGTTGGTTATTGCTGCTACTTTCAGCAATGCTACATATGAACGGCTCCCGGTTGAAGATCAGGAGTCCAATGCTGCAGGACCTGAGGGGAACGGTGGGGAGGCGGGAGGAGCGCAGCCCGAAGCAATTCAGCAGGTGGGAGCCACAGGCGGTGGCGGGTCAGCATCTCAGCAGTCACACGGGAGTGGAAGTGGGATGGTGGCAGGAGGGGGTACACCAGCAGCTGCAGCTGCCGCAGCCCCGGCAGGTGATCAAAGTACGTCTTCAATGCCAATGCCTATATTTAATATGCCTCCTAATTTGCTTCCGAATGGTCAGATGCCTCATGATATGTTTTGGGGTCCTCCTCCTCGCCCTCCCCCTTCTTATTAACGGGGAACTATAAAGGGCGAGAAATTTTGAATTTTGTGGTTGATATGTTAGCTTTGGGGTGGACTAACAACATTTTGTCAAAAGAATTAGGAGTGCATGCTTAAATTTGTGGTTAGCTCTTGTAAGAATTAGCTAGGATTTCAGTGGAAAATTAGCAGATTAGGACTTCTTTTTATCCTTTTAATGGTAGCAGCTGCTAGCAGATCGATGATTAATTAGGTGTATGTTAGAGAACTCAGTTTGATGATCTTTGTGATATTAACAGTTTTTTTCATAGTTGTTCGAGATTGATTAATTAGTTTGTTGTTGAAGTCATAGTTATTCAGTTGTAATGTTTGCTAGCTTTGTTGTGGATATTGATATCTACTGATCTAGTTTGCATCTTAATCAAGCTACCAAGATGAATACATAGAATGTTATCATGGTAATTAATGTTTATTCTTTCCTATTCTCCTCGATACGAGTATATTATGCAGTATAATTCAGCATTCAATAGTTGTTCATGAGATTGAGGAGACAATTGATATTTCACATCACCAATTTATTCCGTCTTCAATCCTTATTTTTGTTCTGCCACTGTATTATTTGCTATATTTGTCAAAGCATCTTTCAATGTCGTTAATTGTGATGTCTCATCAGTCACCAGTGAGACATTGAGTGTGGTTCTAGAACTAAGTTACATCAATTCCTTTCCTTAAAGAGGGCATCATTCAGCTTAGGTAGTACTGTTGTAGTAATAAGAGTTTAAGGTTTCACAGAAAAAAATCGTAATACTTTACTGTATTCTATGGGAGAAACCGGAAACTAAGGTTGATGTTGATTAGGTTGAAGGCCTTAGGTATGATGATAGAAGACTAACTTGTCCGGCCTATACGATCATCGATTAAATGAATGTTATTGAACCGTATAAATTGCAATATACTTCATTAAAATTTTAAATTATATGCATGAAAACACGAAAGAAGAGTTTTGTGTGTGTATGTGTTTAGTGGAGAGAGTCTGGAGACGAAGATGAAACTAGAACTCTATGTTTGGGTGACTACTTGTATGCATGTTGCAAGTTATATGTACTGAACTTCTGCAACCAAATAAGTTCTAAAATCTAAACTAGTTGAATTTTCCAGTGTTCGTCGCTATATGTATTAAAGGATGAAATTAGCAGATGCGAAGTCCAAGTTAAGCATTCTTAGTTGTAATAACTGTATTAGGGTTCTAGAGTGATATCCAATTGCCCCGTGATGAAATGAAATGGTTTTAGGAAATGCTGTTGTAATTAAGTTTGATCAGGAACTTACCTTGTTTACAAGCTTTCTTGAGGATTCAATTGATTGTACTAGGAAAAAGATTGAATATTACAAAGGATATTATTAAAGGTTACTTGCCCTAAGTGTCTAGCTTCTCTCAGACAAGAATTGTTTGAGTTGCATATAGATAGAAGAAAGGAATTATTAGGAAACTGAAATAAGAGGAAAGGAATCAAGAAAGTGAATTTAGTTTCATGTTAATATACAAGGGAGAGTCCAGCTTCTAGCAGCTCCATTATTGCTACTAGCTACACTTATCTTTGTACACTTTTGCAATTGTTTTGACTGACTGTCCAACCCCCCAATGTCATTTGCGCCACGGCTGCTGTGGTGGCCGGTGGACGACCTTCCTTCTTCCGCTCGAAGAGGTATGGTTGGGTGGTTTTAGGCCTTCAAAATTTTCCACTGTGATATAAGACTGGAAATAGCTAGGTTTGTGATGGGCTGACGGCAGTGGAAGTTGCTGGCATCTGGGGCTAGGTAGTTAGTGCTAGATTACTTCAATTAATTGGGTATTAAGATTTGTGTTTAGTGCAAATCACATTTTCAAACACTAAAACAATATTTGACACCTTGTATTTAAATTAAACCTCTCCAGAAACATCATATCAATATCAAATTAAGGAAATTACATGAAATGTCAATGTTATCTGTGGCATCATTCACAAATCTAATTGACCAACCTATTTAATTAAGTTAATATGAAATTGGTAATGCTATTATTGAATCTTAGTTTCGTAACAGTTTTTTGAAAAGAAACAAAAAACAAATATAATGCTCCTTTTGTAATCATCAACTGTTTCACATTGGCTTTCAGTATTGTTCAAAATTCTTAATTGTCGAATTAGGGTTTAATTAACTCATACTATATATGAAAAAATTGAGTATACATTATTAAGCCCTCTAACAATAATTACTTTAGTATAATATAACACATTCCTTGTATATTGTACACAAGTATAAAGTAATTGGTATTGTGAGGATCTAAAAACTTTACGGTGCTTTTTCTGTGTGGCTAGCTGCAGTACAACCGGAGTTACTTATAGAGGTTACTCAGTCGGTTAAGGGTTACTTATTCTAGGGTTACTCAGTCGGTTAGCGCGTTTTTGCCGGGGTTACTTATTCCGGGATTACTTATTTAGGGTTACTCAGTCGGTTAGCGCGTTTTTGCCGTGGTTACTTATTCCGGGATTACTTATTTAGGGTTACTCAGTCGGTCAGGAGTTACTTATTCTAAATTTATTCAGTTGGTTAGTGTGTTTTCTGTGTGAGAATAACCCCTGACCGACCGAGTAACCCTTGAATATGTAATCCCTATAAATAACCCTAGCCACACAGTGTGGCCAACCACATATAAAAATTTGTGAAAACCTTAAATAGAGTAGGTTAAGCTTAAGATTAAAATTGTACTCGTAATATGGGAAAAAATTGTACAGTGCTTTATCGTACACCTAATTTGTACAACCAAGATTATTTTTTGCTTTGTGTTGGCACATTGTACAATCATATGGACAAATAATTAAGTATTTAATTATTAACCTTTTGATTATACCATGCACAAGATACGTTTATACATAGATTTTAAGAGAAGATGAATTACGGTCGCTTGGTTAGAAATTCTTGATGAGTGATCATGGCTAGGAAGATTTCATGACTTGTATTCTGATGAGCATGCATGCTAATGCAAATATAAAATAACTTACAATCACCCTTTTACTTTATGATGTCCAAATTCAAGGTGTAGGTAAAGCATGTAGACACTGCTCAAGCAACTAGATACTCTAATGGAAGTATTTAGGAAACTAATTTTAACAAACCAAAATTGATTTCTCTAAGAGTACGTTTCTCTTAATAAGAAAAAATAAAATTGAACTCTACTTGTAAAGCTGTAAGACAATAATGTATATTTTCCGGTGATGTTCTTACAAGGAGGTGTATGTGCCAACATTATTTCCTAAGGAAGTGTGACAATATCAATTATTGTATGAACGCAAACTTTAAATTTGCTAGTACATATATCTTCTATTTCATTTGAACTTAATTAGCCCCATTAAGTTGGTATTGCATGAAGAATTTTATATGCGCTTAGATCAGCTGGATGTAACATCCAAGGTCTTTTTCAATGAGTAACATTTTTCTTTTCGATATTTTCAAATAAGTAAAATTTACCAAATGAGCAAAAATATAACTTTGTTAGCCTCAATGAGACTTGGATTATCAGGGGCCCGTTAATAATCGTTGTTAAGTTTGTCTTACTTGGAAAGATACATTGGGCTTTTTTACTAATATTCTTAATGAACATGCTTATGATAATTATCATAATAATATGAATATATGATATCCAACTCACAAACAGTTTTGGTGCGCCCCAGTCCCAAGATATTTGTTCATATTTTGTGCATCCCTTTGTCATTGATACCCTGAACTTGACAAATAATTCAAACTCCCAAAATCAAAATCAGTGTTTCTATTTACCTCGAAAGTTAAAAAGTATTCAAAAGGAAAGGAAAGAAATGCATTGTGTTTCTAAAATGAATTTTGTCATACATGATCCTTTCGACTATGAATAAGCGTCTAATTTTAGTCTTAAGAGAAGATTGATCTTGTTTACAGAGTATAAAAGAAATGAATAAGTGTACACTGTACTCTTTTTTGGTCAAGGTTTGTGACCATGTAATTTAGGATGGAACTGCGGAACAAAGTACCTTTAATGTATAAACGTTTGCAAGTCAAGATTATATTATTATATAGTATATATCTAGAGAATTTGCACCAAAGATATACAAGTATATAGTAAGGTTAAATACGTAGTAATAAAATATAACAACATAAGTGGAAAGAAAGGAGGGATCGGAATAATTAATCTTCTAATATCGGTTTGAAGCTAACACACTATACTTTTAATTTATACACACTAGCAACTAATTACATTACAAGTAGAGGTGTAAAAAGTACACCTAATCCGACCCGATCCGAAACCGAACCGAAAATATCTTATTTAGATTTGAACTCGCGTGGACATAATAATTTAGCATAACTCAACTTTAAAAATTGACCCGACCCGACTTCATCAGACCCGATCTGATCATCCGAATTGACACCTCTAATTACAAGCACCAACTCCGCTCTATATATAATTGAGTCCCCGTTCCAGAGTTGAGAGTTGATACATACGAAGGTCGAATAAATTGTTAAATAAAGAGTACTCATTAAAGAAAACCTCTAAACAACTAAATTTTTGTTAGCTAAAAGGGGACGAATCATCCAGCTAATCTTACCTTTTCTAATATAGAATTACTCCGTAGTAGATAAAAAAAGTGTATAACAGGGTAATTTTGCTACCAATTAGCTAGCTAAAAATTAACTATTTAACATGACTCAAATAAAGTAGTTATAATGTACTATTGGATTGAGGGAGTATATGAAAAACAGCAAAAAAGAGAAGAACTATCAAAAGTTTTGGGGTTAACTAACCCTTCCAGAAGACATTCTTGGGCCCCAGTATTAGTAATACCAAAAAGATTTTGTCCTTGCCATTCACAAAAAGATACTGGTAAGTTCATCATATGATTATTGTTCCACATCATTTGGGTGCTGCATGATAATCCATTTTTTTCTGCATGTATGACTGGTTCCACTTGATAATTTGTACCAGTATTCCAATTTTCTGGTAAATTATTCACGATTTCACAGTCTTGTGAAGATAATAAGGGTGATGAATCATAATAAGTAAGTAGATTATTGTTATTAGTTGCTTGAGAACCTTCACAATCACTAGTAATTCCAATGCTCATAGTATTCACCATTTGGTTGCCTAGAACTTCTATCTCCTCTTGTAAAGTTGCTACCTGCAGTTACGTTGTCAAAGGAGTCGTGTTATTGATAAGCATTTGAAACAACATTATTACTAGCATCCTATCGCGATTGTTCTGTCTTAATTGGGAAAGGTTAGTTAAGCTATTGACATTTTTAAAATTGATGATCTAATTAAAGTAACATAGCATTCATCCTTCAAAGCAACAAATTAAATCAAAATGCATGTACAGCGTAAAATCTTATACTGTATAATATCAATGAGTAAAATTAGTTAAGTGGTCGGATAAATATATACGGAGTATAATATATTGCATGATGATGAAACAATATTGATGTCGGTGATACTTGTCAAACCACACTAAATTTAAGTTTGATCCCAATGATTTTACTACAACTTGTAATTTATTGTTGATATATATTGCTTTTGAATCTAGGTTAAATAAAAGAAGAGTTATAACTTATAACCAAATAAGAAAGCAAACCTCTTGTTGAAGGGCATGAATATAGGCAACACAACCATAAACAGGATCTCTCATTCGAGCGATAGCTTCGAAAGAGATGGTTAAGGCAGCTTCACTTCTAAAGTGTTCAGGGAGATGAAGAAGCAACCTTGAAACGTTACTTGCCCCAAAAACTTTGTGAACTGCTGCAAAATGAGCAACTGCCTCATCATAGCTAAAATAAGGTGCAAAAACACATTCAATTGTACATTTTCTCCTTAGAAATTTGCATGCTCCACAAGATGTACTAACTCCTGTCATTTTCCTCCTTAATCACACAGTTTTCACTATACTTTGCTAATAACTTTTCTAATCTTTTTACTCAAATTCACCTTTTTTTTTTGTGTGTGTTTGTTTGATGCTTTAACTCTTAGTAAAAATGTTCTCTTAATAATTTTGTTAAATTTGGACAACCATAGATTGCCTTTTATAGTGATCATTTTAGAAGCTTATTAAGCTAATCTTTCTTCTAATAGCTAAATTAATTAAGGGTTAGACAATACTTACTTTATTTTAAAAGTTAACCTCTTTTAGGTCTCCTTCATGGGCTACATTTTTATGTTATTCTTTTGATGGCAACATTTATTTTGATAAATTTTCTATGCTAAAAAAGCCCTTATAAAATCTTGCACTACTTGCTCAATTGGGTAGGTTTGCTTAATAAATACAATTAACCCATTTAAAAAGGTACCACTAGAATATGTTTTATTGTGTTAAGTGCTTAATGGAAATTAATTGCGTAATCAACATTACGATTGGTTATCTGCTTATGACAATCGGCATAACCATACTAATTGTATGATTTGTATAAGAGTCAATGTTTATTAATAGTTAGTTAGGGTTTTATTTTATTTTATGATATCACTTTTAGAAATTAGTACAATTTATATTTTTCTTTATTCAAGGGTCAATTTGTGGGCATCTATTACTTAGCAATCATCATCATTCATCAAAAAGTACTTGATTATCCTCTTTATTGATTAATACAAGTAAAAATTATACTATAAGTCTCACGTATTTAATAATACTCACAAGTCACGAGTATGGACCTCTTCATCCTCAAGCTAAGAGGGAGCATACTCATTATTCTTCACTTAGCTTGATGACTCTCCTATCACTTTTTCTATCACGATACGAGTACAAATGTACATGCACAAATGCATATGCATTTCTAAATAATTTATCTTATCTGATTTAGATCATGCGTATTAATTTATAACGTACTGAGTATATTAATAGTATTTAATGCTTGCTAAATTATTGGTTGAATATAAAAACATATTTGTGTAGAAATTATATACTATAGTCAATTAGTCATACTTTTCTTTGTTCGATCTTCTAAATTTCCTTTTTTCTCTATCTTTTTTTGTTCTTATATTTATTTTTACTTTACATTTGGTAATGGTTTTTTTTCTTAATGAAAATCTTAAACCGACTCTTTAAACTGTTTCTCAATCTATAAACCTTAAAAAAGATAAATATATCTCCTGATGAAGAGAGCGGTCATTGAAATTGTATACACTATAACTTATCTTTTTCTCACCTAAAAAAAATAGTGCATGTCGTACCTTTTATATAAGATCGAGAAACTATTAAAATTTTAAACATCACAATCCTAGATTCATATACTCTATGGATCATTACCTATATCTATCCTAGCAATAATTATGGAAATTACATTCACCATGTGTTACCTTATAAGGTCCTTTTTACCTACCTTAGCACACAATCATTCCCGAAATCAATCCTTTTTTCTGTTAAATTGTTTCATTTGATTGGATTGAGTTTTAGCATAAAGATGCTGTCATGTTATGCATGTCATCATCAAATATAAACTTAGTGCATGGCGGCTATATTATACAATTTATGTAACTCTCTTAATCTAGCAAAACAGGATCTTGTAATGTCCTATATGCATATTTACTAGGTTTAAATATTAGTTATATAGATTTATGACTCATCATATATTTAGCATTATTCTCAATAATTAAGCACACCATCAACATTATTTTACACAAGTTGTCATTATCATTCCTAGACAGCAAAAAGGAGTAAGCATTAAAATCTTTACAGTATATGTGAAAATTAGATAATACACCCGGGTGCACCATGCTCATGGTGCACCCGGCTAAACAAAAAAAGGCGGAAAGAACATATAGTGTTTGATAAAAAACATATCTATGTTTGACAAAGAACATACCTTTAATATGTTTTTTGAGTGTGATCAGTGTGTTCTTTGAGTAAAATTATATGTTCTTTATATTATAACTTATGTTATTTAACATATGTTGATAAACATATATTTTTTTTGGGTTTAATAATACAAAGTATGTTCTTTGAATTTGGCGTGTATGTTCTTTAAGGTCGTAGTGACTCCCAAATTCTATTTTTTATTATCATATGTCATATTTAAATTACTTTTATTATCGTATATTCTTTGAGTTTGATTAGTGTGTTATTTAGGTATTAACTATATGTACTTTACAATATAAATTATGTTCTTTTAACATATGATATTTTGAAATTTGATATTGAAATCTTAAATTATTTTTAATTGAAAATAATGTTAGATTAAAAAAAAAAAATTATTATGGGAAGTTGAATTTTTTTTGGAGAGATAGAAAACTATTTTTTGGGGAAATGATATCTTTGGTAAGGATTTTTTAAGAGGTGATCAACATTGGCATGACTCGCATCCCGACCCGATCCGGCCCGAAATAGGGTGGGTTTGGGCAAACCTAAAAATACATTTTTAGTTAAAACACGAACCGGGTTCGAAAAAAGCCCGAAAACCCGCTACTTTTCTACGGGTTTGGGCACAAGAAATTATGATATGGCCCGACCCTACTCGATTTTTTATCACCTCTAAATTTTTCCCGTTAATAATGTGTAATTTTTCAGAAAATTTTATCAAGTTTTTATCTCGTTCTTTTTATTATATCTTTATGTTCTTTGGTAATGCATGTTTTTGTCAAATACAAACATGTTCTTTGTCAAATACATGTATGTTCTTTATGAAACATAGGATGTTCTTTCCGCCTTTTTTTTATTTATCCGGGTGTACGATGAGCACTGTACACCCGTGTGTATAAACCACGGATTACAGTATATGGCAGCAATTTTGAGTAGTGCTTAACACTATTTGCTTTCAATGTCATATGATTAAAGGCTCAAGAAGTGCTATGGGAAAGAATTAAAATTAAATTACACGGAGATCACATTTTCAAATGATTTAAGAATAAAGCTAATAGAAATAAATGTAGCGATAACTCCAACTTTTATCAACCTTTCAGAATAATCTCATTTCGATTTACTCAATCATATATTGGTGGTTTGCTACTACTAGTATTTTTATTACAAGTAAAAGACATTAGGTTATGTTCTCTTTACCTTACTTATAACATTTTGGTCTTCGGTTCATTATATATATATATATATAAAAGGTATTTTGGTTAGTTTGAATCATTTTAGACGATTGAACTTTTCTGACTTAGTCGTCTAGCCTAATTTGATTTGATTTCATTGTCTGGTGTGAATTGTTATTTTTTTTAGTGACTCCCTAGAATGTTTGGACAATGGTCATTAAATTATGTTAACTTTGTAATTCTAGTAGTTTGCTTAAAATTTTATGATGAAGCGCTAGAGAGTAAATCCAGCTCGTTGCATCACTTGCATGCATACACCAAAGACAGCGAAAGGAAACATTTGCCTAATTTACTCCAATAAATTAAATGGATTTCACTTTTTGTCCTTTCAAACTTGTTTTAAGCTTTCGGGTATTTTGGCTCCAATGCCAATTGCTAACTACTCTTTTATTAATTATTAATAACGCATGCATTGATGCTGCCTGTGAGAGACGCCATGAAATGGTGGCGGGGATATTATTTTTATTTTTATTATTTCCTTTTTCAGTTTTGATGTTTCATTATCAATTAAGTTGCATAGAACGAATCTGGATTGTACTCGCCACAAGGCCCACAAGTGTCTTTAAATAAGTTCAAAGAGCTTCTACCTGAAAACTGGTAATAAGGGAAGTAGCCCCTTAGTCTTATAAAGGGGACAATATTAATATATTAATTGAAATTATGATTGAATTTTTTTTATTTATGTAAATTTATCTTATTTGAAAACTTAATTTATCTGAAATAAATCAAAATAAGCTAAGAAGAACACAATACACGTGTAAAGTTTGGGAGCAGGGACATTCTTGTGAATTGTAATTATGCTTGGGGGTAGGGTTCACTACCCTTCCTTCTAGAGTTGTCAAAAGCTGACCCGACCCGAAATTTTACCAGATTCCGATCATGACCCGACTTGTTTGAACCCCAGAAATTGGTGACCCGAACCCGATATGACCCGACCCGAAACCAACCCGAGACCCCCGACCCGAATTCAACCCATTCCCTGGATTCAACCCGATCTATTACTAATCCGACTCAAATTCAACCCGATCTGTCACTAATCCGACTCAATTCAACCCGATCTGTTGTTAACCCGACCCAAACCTGATGTAACCCGACCTGAATAGTAATGTAATTAACTCAATTGACCCGAATCGAGCTAACTCGATCCAAACACTCTAATTGATAAATCTACGTAATCCCCCATATTTTTAAATAATTTATAAATAAAATGTTATTTATTTATAATATTTATTTGTATTTTTTCCAGTATTTGATTTTAAAAGTTTCAAATTATTAATTTGGCTCAAAAATTATTTTAGTGCAAATTATTTTATAAACCTTCATTCTACAATTTATACCCATACAAACAAAGCCTAACCCATTTGATTTATTTAATTGGTCCATTATTTTCATGAGGACCAATTCTACCCTACAATTCTCTCCTATAAATACCCCGTGAATCCCCAAATTTTCCCCACACAATAAGGTTAGTCATATTTTCTTTCTCATTTATTTTTTTCTTATTATTTTATTTTTTCTTTTTCCTTTTTCTTTCTTTTCTTTTTTTTTTTCTTTTTCCTTTTAAGTGAGAAAAGCTTCTCACGCCCCCTCCTCTTTGTTGCTGCCCGCTGCCACCACGAGCCGCCCACATGACGCCACCGTCGCCAGTCGCCGGCGACCATCAGTCCGCCGGTGATCCACCAGCAGCCTTCCCGTGGCTGCCCTCCTTCCTCTTTCCCCTTTATTTTCCTTATTTTGCTTTAAAAAAAATTATTAATTTGTTTATGTTTTTATTTTATTGTTTAAAGTTTATTGTTTTAGTATCAAAAATGGATTTTGATGATTTAAAACTTATGATTTCAGATTTATGATTGTGTTTTAAAATTTCAGATTTTATGATTCTAAAACTTAGGGTTTTAATTTATTTAAATTAGGATTTTAGGGTTCTAATAATTAACTAAATTGGGGCTTTTGTTCCTATTGAATTCTCAATATTAATTAAGCATAAAAACATGTTTTAAAGGAAGTTTTAAAGGAAGT